CAGAGCAGGTTGTGGACTCCGGCATGGAGACATGGGGCTGGAGGTTGAGCTGATGTGAGCGTACTGAACCGCGAACGGCCACAGAAAATGGGGAGCAACCGCATGGATCATGGACGTATGAGCGACGTCCATGGCCATGCCAATGCGGCGCTCAGCAATCCCATTTTGCTGTGGGGAGGCCGGAAGCGTGAACGTCTGGCGGATGCCCTCCGCACGACAGAAGGCTCGCAGAAGGTCGGAGGAAAACTCTCCACCTCTGTCAGAGTGCAGACGCAGAACAGGAAGGTCCGAGCCGAAACTCTCGCTGAGCTGGCGACGGGCAGCGCTGATCCAGTCGATTAGCACCTCAGTGACCTCACCCTTGCGGCGCAAGGGGAAGACTGTGGTGTAACGCGAGTAGTAGTCAACGACCAGCAGAAAATAACGCTCGTGACCCTGTCCACGGACGCGGGCTCGGCCCCACACGTCCATGTGGAGAGTCTGCAGGGGAGCCTCCGTCGGAGGGAGCTTGGAGGAGTGAGAAGCGGCGTGCTGCCGTCCCTCGACGCAAGGAACAGAGGTAGGGGCGGGCCCCAAGAGGAGGGGAGGGAGAGACCGGGGGAGACCAGTGACAAGGACACGGGAGGCCATACCTCGGAGACGAGGCAGGGAGGGGTGACCAAGGCGGTGTTGCCAAAGGAGAGTCTGGTGTAATAGGAGACGACACGAGCAGGGGGCAGACTCCGGACCAGAGATGGACGCGGCAGCAAACACCTGACCCGACGCGGCTACCTGACTAGACTCAACAACCAGAGGAGACTCAGTAGTCAGTGTGTACAGGCTCGACCCATGCCGACGGGTGAACGTGGCCAGGTGGCGGCCCGTCCGAGTACACGTACAGCGGGTCACCCACTGACCTCCAGGAGTGAACTGGTCAACCCACATGTCCTGGAGGTCTGCTCCACTTACCAAGTTCGTAGAGAACAAGGGGAGGTGAAGACCCGACAGTGAGCCAGACAAGACCGCCGGGCACGGTAGAACCGTAAAGGAGTGCGCAAGGACCGGGCCCCCAGAGGGGTCCGCCAGGGTGACAACAACCAGCCGATTGAGCGGCATGAGTGTGGTGCTGTCGCGAAAGAAGGAGCGGGAAGCACCTGAGTCAAGCGTGAAGGTGTGCAAGGCCTCAGCAGGCGCAGTACCTGAGAGAGCAGACTCACTAGTACCTGGAGCAGCAGACTCACTAGCACCTAGAGCAGCAGCCTCTATACCTGGGTCGGGCGGCACACACAGGTAACAGTCACCCTCAGCACTAATAGTCACAGCAGACATGGCAGCAAGGATAGCATCGTAATCAAGATCAAAGATAGCAACAAAAGACTTAAGCAGATCAGCCCAGCAAGGGAGCTCCGTGGCGTCAGGAAACTGTGCACGACAGGCGTCAGACAGGCGACCGAAATAGCGCTGCGTCGCGTGTGGCAGCCTGCACGTCTCCCCTCGGCACTCGCCGGTGCGGAGAACGCAAGCGCAAGGACCAGCACCTTCAGACCTCCCACGCCCAGCGTACCACTCACGAAGCTGCTGGGGCGACGGGGCCTCACGGGAACGCGGCTGCTGCTGTCCCTGGCTACCGCCAAAGCCTCCACGCTGCGCGGCTCCACCCCGACCAGCACCACCGCCGCTGCCACCCCCACTGCCGCTGCCACTGCCGCCCCCACCTCCACCGCCGCCACCGACGCCCCCACCCCCGCCCCCACCCCCACCTCCACCCCCACCCCCTCCGCCTCCTCCACCGCCACCACCGCCGCCCCCGCCGTCCCCTCCACCACCCTTGCCCCCCTTGCCCTTGCCGCTGCGGCGCCTCCCACTAGGAGCAGACGCAGCCCCGACCTCCTCGGTGCCAACGAGGTCGACAGCAGCAGCAGAAGCAACAGAGGGCGAATGGGGAACGGGGGAACACCCCTCAAAGAAAGGGGCGCGAGGGTCACCGCGAGAAGCTCCTACAGCGACTATGCTAGTCTCAGCAGAAGTGAGGCGCTCCTCGAGCAGGTCGACTGTGAGCTCGGTGGGGCAAAGGGAGAGAAAGTGGTCCCTGACTGAGCGAAGAGAGTCAGGGAGACGGGTGATAAGGTAGAAGAGGGTGGCGCGAAACTCGGAGGGAAGCGCAGCGCTGTAGCAAGTGTGACTAGTGCAGAGGTGAGTGATGAGGTCAGCAACTATGGCAAAGGCGGCCAGGTCAGGGAACTAGTACGGCAGCATGAAGCGGCTAAGGGCAGCAGTGGCAGGGGAGGAGTAGCGTGCGACGACAACGTCATACAAAGAGCAGTCTTGTACTGGCCAAAGTGCGCGCGCTCAGCAGACGGCAGGTGACTAAGAACAGCAAGGCGAGCAACAGCGTCACGAGTAGTCCACTGCGAGCAAACCGTACTGTCAGCATCGGCAGCAGGTGCAACAAAGGCGCCAGACGTGTGATCGAAAAGCGAGACTCCGTCCCTAGAGTCGCACTGAAGATAGAGCTACAGGTCATCTACCCAAACCTCGAAATCTACTGCACGACCCTCAGCATCGAAGGTAAGAACAGTAGGGCTAGCCATGGCGGCAGTAGCAGCAGCAGTAGCAGTAGGGCAGGGTGGCGCGGCTCGGCAGGGCGGCGCGGCTCGGCAGGGTGGCGTGGCTTGGCAGAGCGGCGCGGCTCGGCTGGGCGGTGCGGCTCGGCTGGGCGGCGCGGCGCGGCAGGCAGGCGGGTGCAGCGGCGCGCTTGGCAGGGCGGGATCTTACCAGGGGCGGGTGTAGGGCAGGGCCGCGACTGGCGGTTAGGGCAGGGCCGCGACGAGGCGGCGGTACAGCAGGGCCGCGACGGGGCGGCAGAAGGGCAGGGCCGCGACGAGGCGGCGGTAGAGCAGGGCCGCGACGGGGCGACAGCAGGGCAGGGCCGCGACAAGGCGGCGGCTGTGCAGGGCCGCGATAGGGCGGCGGTAGAGCAGGGCCGTGACGAGCGGCTGAGGGCAGGGCCGCAACGGGTGGCGGCAAGGCAGGGCCGCAACGGGCGGCTAGATCAGGCTGCGACGGGCGGCTAGGTCAGGCCGCGACGGGCGGCGACAGGGCAGGGCCGCGACGGGCGGCTAGGTTAGGGCCGCGACGGACCGTTAGGGCAGGGCCGCAACGGGGCGGGAGGGCAGGGCCGCTACTGGCGGCAGTAGGGCAGGGCGCGCGACGGCGCAGGTGAGGCAGGCGCGAGGCGCGCTTCAGGCAGGGCAGGAAAAACTATTGTGGTGGGCCCTAAAAAAACGTTCCCGTTAGGGAACCTGCTCTGAAACCATGTCAAAAAGTAGGAATCAGGAATGACTAGAATGTCAGCAGTACAGGGTTTGTATAGCAAAACCTAATTGGGCTGTACCCCATAAGAAGTGCCCCACTACAGCCTAGAGCATATAAATGCATAGTTCTGACAGTAGGTGATGGACTGCACAACAATCGCGTGCGCATTATGCACGTAATGCATATTGCGCATATGCCAGGTTGAAAGGCACGTAATGCTCGTCCTGCAAGTCAACTTTTGTCAAAACCTCATGGGGCGAAATTCGCGCCCCCTCAGAAATTCGCTGACTAGTTACTTGGTCGAACAAAAGAAGCCGCTCAGCCGACACCGACGGTCGGTCGACGCCTGTAAACTGGCGTGGATAGGTCTGTGCTGTGTCGACGATTAATTTCGTCGACCGCCGAGGCTCGACACCGTCTGGCGAATTCATGTCGTCGGCTTGACCGTGGGCAGCTTTGCCAAAGTCCACGAACCAATCTCGTTGATTTCCTCCTCCAAGCCGGTATCGACCAGAAAGCGCAGCTAGCAGCATGCTTCATGCACATCTAGCGCACCGGACAGCGAAGTCGGCTTCGCCCAAGCGAGAGTATGACATTTTTTTCGACAACATTTTTGTGACGTCCAAAACGAAAATATATATTCAAAGGAATGCACCCCAAGGCCGATTCTGCTCACGCGTCAGAGCCAGCACGAACTTCGTTGCCATCATTGCACAACATGGGTCTCATTTTCTATGTTACAATTTTACGTTTCTCTTCATTTAGGTATTTTTGGACTCTTGATTCCAATTCCCGTTTTGCTCGTTCCATTGAAATCGTAGCATCATTGCAAACACGATGATATCATAGCTAAACGGTTAGCTAAAACCACCAGGGCCCAAAATAGGTTTTAGCTCACTCTTTCAAATCAGGGTGGCAGGCCCCCCGTACCCTGACTGGTAGGGTAATTTTTCTCGTACACTGATTGTAGCAGCCTAAAAGTTATGGTACACTGCTTTCAGCAGGGTAATATATCCCATACACTGTTTCCTTCCTACGCACAAATCTTTACTACACCAACAGTTACTACTACTCACTAAAGTGTTCTGCACACAAGCTATACTATCTAGATAAATAAACCATCCTAAAGCCACTAGTCAACGTCTGCTGCACTAGCAACTGCCTCGTCTGCAAATTGTGCAGTGCTGGCCTTCATTCCGGAGAAGTCCTTGGTGGATCGCCTGAGCTTCTCACCGCGGAATATGGCGACCACCTCGTACCAGTCTATGTCGTACTGCAGGAGGGAACACCGCAACATGTGCTCAAGGCTTGTGTCGCCGAGGCTGCCGCGGTCCCACGTCTTGATCAGGTTCTGCTTGCTGAAGCCGCGCTCACATTCAACCGTGCTCACATTCAACCGTGCTCAGTGGTAGCACGGCGGCAGACTGCCACATCCGGACGATGTTGGGAAACGAAGCACGCCATGCCTCGTCGCGCAGCATGTTCCCCAACGCCTGATGAAACTCCTCACCGTTGTGCTAGGAGAACATGGTCGAGGTAAACATCCAGAGCTCCTGGCCGGCACGCTTGTAGTCGAACCCTGGTAGTGCGGAAGGGGTTGAGGATTGGCATATGCTCATACATACGGGTAGGAGTGGGAGGCATTAGTCCAACAATACAGGGCCGGGTGATGAGCAGAGCCAAGCGCAATGGGAAACAAGCTGGTGCTAAGTTGTTGCCGGCAAGTCAATCTCAAATACCCGACACATCAGACAATCACGCTTACCGGGCAGCTTGTGGTTGTACAGCTTGTGGAGCTGGCCAAGCCACTTCCTGAAGGACTCCAGCCGCTTGGTGTCATCGGACACATACGACGCCGTCCGAAACAGCTTGGCGCCTTCCAGGAGGTTGAGGTCGCGCATGCGCCACTCTAGCTCCTCGTCCACTTTGCGGATGAACTTGAGCGAAAGCTCAAAGCACGCGTTTACATCACCCTCAGTCTCATGGCCTGGCAGGGGGCGTTCGTGCAGGGTGAATTCGAAGGAGACGGCGTTGCCATCCGCGTCCACGCCTTCCGCTTTCATTTCACGCTTATCCAGCTTCTGGTGAGCCTTGATGAAGTCAGGCAGCTGCATCTTCTCTCCGCTGCCAAAGAAGTGACCAGGGGACCTGTCGATGTAGCGCATCTTCAGGCGCATCCACGTCTGTTGTACAAGGTGCGCCACGAGGGTGACGTCCACCCGCACACATACAAAACATGAGGTCAGAACGAGAAGTACAGGCGTGCGTGTAAGTACAAATTTGCTTGTCAGTGTGTTACCTGACGTTGCTAAAAGCGCAGATTGAGTTGGTTGAGCTCCCACATCACATCCGCGAGGAAGCGGATGAGCTAGTGGAACTTGAACGAGGTGACTACCTCGTACAAGTCTTTCTTGTAATCCTTCAGCACGACGATGGCTGCAGGCAGAACGTCAAGGAACCGCTGGATCGCCTCGCCACGGGAGAGCCAGCGCACGTCGTGTATGCCCTGCGCCTCCAGATTCGTCTGGCAGTAGACGCACTGCAGATTCTGAAACTTGGTGTAATCCACGCTGCTGCGGCTGATGTGCTCGGAGAAAGCACGCACCACGTCGTCCACCATGCCGAGCTCGGGGACTGCCTCCGCGACATCCTTAGCTGCCAATGCCTCCCTGCTCATTCAAGTAGAGCATGTCAAAACGTTACTAAGTCGCAGATCTGGTTCTTAAAGAAACTCAAATTCAAACCTCCGTACCTGTGAGCGACGCAGTGAGTCGAAGCCAAGTGTGGAATGCGCAGTCGCAGCCTCGCCACGACCCCGTTGTTCTTGCCGGTCATCACACTGGCCCCGACCGTAGATATTCCGGAAATCTTCTGAAGATCTACCCCGATTCCTGTAAGGTACTGCACAACAGCAGAGATTAGCGAGGCCGCATCGGCACGGTCCACGGTAATCAGAGTTAAGAACTCCGTCACCGGTGCGGTCCCTTTGAAGAATGTCGCATACAGAATCAGGTGCTTGCCATTCACCCGGTCGGTGCTCTCGTCGAGACATATCCCTATCCATGGGGATTCCAGCAGGTGGCCGCGTTGAGTCTCTTGAAGGTACGTGGAGGTGGCGCGCATCATCTCTTTGAATCCGTAACTGCGAGGACAAAACACATGGCACACGAACACACATTGCATTAGCATCTCGTCAGCTTGAGTCATGGAACAAACATAAGCGCCAGAAACCGCACTTACTCGGTATAGTAGGCGCCGTACCCTCCAGACGAAGGAAGGTCCGGCAATCCTTCCTTAGCCAAAAACCAGCACAATGGAACAAACATGGCTATTGGCGCGTCAGCCTTACAGATGAAGAGCGCGATGTGGAGGCAGCGGATGATGTGCCGTGTAGCTGCGTCGGTGCTCTGCCACCTTGTTAGTGTGGCTTGCTTCGCCTTTTCCGCGTCTGCTTTGGCCTCGTTTTCCAAGGCCTGCTTGTGGGCTCTACTGGATGTGTGCGCGCGGATGCTCCCTAGCTGCATGTCTCGCGCACCCTCACCTCTGACGCCGTAGGCAGTGTGCGCGTTTGGATCTCCGTGCTTGATGCAGATGGCACATTTCAATGACGGCCTGCCGTTAGTCATGCGCATTAAGCGAAGCCAGCTGAATTTACCAGACCATTGGGAATCGAAAGTTGCTTTTACCGATTCGTACTCAGCTTCTGCTGAAGCGGTTGGAGGCGTCGGCTCGGCAAGAGCAGCACGGCGTGGTGGTGATGCCGCTTCCCGTGGAGGAGGGGCGCCCCAGAGCCTCTGCTGCTTGTATGTCACGCCCACACGCTGTCGCTTCACGGGCGCTGAGCTAATTGTGGACGGGGCTGCAGTGGCTGCCTTCAACGGGCCTTCGCCGCCATCGGGAACAAGCTCCACAGACGGGTGTGGCTCCCGGGACTTTGGCGAGGCTGAGCGCTCGCACGGGAAAACGGTGCCGACAAGACATTCAAGGGATGGCTCACGCGCAGGCTGAGAGATAGGAACGCTATAGTTCTCAGCCAGCGAGGTAACACACCGAGAACGGAGAGACCGTTCCTGGTGCTACCAGGCAGATCTGGATCTGAGGCAGGCATTCGGAACAACAAACGAGAGGGAAGCGAGAGAATGGCGAGAGTCTGAGAGACCCCTTGGGAATCACAAAGCCCAAGGGGCCTCAGGCAGCACGGCACCCGCGCTGGTAGGGAACTGCATGGCATAGGATGCAAGGCCACAATGACTGCCAGGTGGTGGAAACGACAGCACGTACCCCACCTGGCGCGCAATTTGGCAACGTTGGCAGTGAGCGGTGCTTCGGGAACACACGGAAACAGGGTGCGTTGGCTTTGATGTTGCTCAACGGACCAATCGTAGGTGTGCGCGGGCATCCCTGCTGGATTTGCGTTGGCACGCCAGTGGGTGTATCGAACAAATGGTCCAGTGGGACCGTGGTGCATTTTGTCGTGGCGCGTACTGTGGCGGAATCCGCGGTACAACAGAGTTCCGGTAAAAGGGTAGTTGAACTCCTACCCTGATACAGTCAGAGTAACAAAAAAATCTACAAGAGTACTTTTTAGCGTATCCTGATTTCACTAGGGTAAAAATATCCATACCCTGATTTCAAAAGGGTAACTGCCAAAAAGTGGCCTATCATCAGGGCAAAAAGGGTAAAATACCCTTGAAATTTGGGGCCTGAAAACCACCAACAGATGTATTATTTCGTAACCCAACCATATATTGTATGACGGATGGTGCCAATGCAAGAACACTCAATAAGCGGAACTTTCCGTACAGGCTCCAAAATGCTGCATGCTCCTTCACACGAAAATTACTTCTCTTGAGAAATTTATACTTGCTTGCGTGATCCGATAGTCTGCTTTAGTGACAGTGCGACCAGCACGATGAATGCGGATAATCGACGAGGGGAGATGGCGGACGTGAAGATGCAGCTGGGTCAACTCGCGGGAAGCAGGTCAGTCGCTTGCGGCGATCTGGACGGTATCGCTGTGCGAGGGACGGCTGAGATAATTTTCCCAGCTTTAGACGGTTGCTTTTTGTTTTGTCCCACAGGTCGATTCGCGGGCAAGTGTCCTCAATGGGGATCAGATTAGGTCAGTATGGGTCGGACGGAATTAGAAATCCGTGGAAGGGAAGTCGAGAGTGTACAGGCTGGTGCGCAGTCCTGATCTTCGTGTAAACACAGTGGTTTTGCGACGTCTCAAAACAGTCCTACTCCTCCTCGCATCCCCCCCTCCTTCCCCTCGCATTCTGCCCATCAGGGCGCCAGGAGCGGCGGAGATGCGGCGGGAGCTCTTCAAGAAGGTCATATCGCACATGACCATCGGGATCGACGTCTCGTCCGTCTTCAGGTGCGCGTAGTACCCACCCTGTGACTCGATAATGACTGTCGAGTCGACTCAAAAGTGATCTTTTGAGTCCACTCAAAAGCACATGACTATGGGGATTGAGGTCTCCTTCGTCTTTAGGTACGCGTTATAGCCACCATGGGACTCGGTGCTCGCTTTTACAGGCGTACCCATCATAGCCTTTCTCGTCCACGTTATAGTCATTGCGACTCCTGTCACGACCATTATGAACCCCATCATTCACTTGTCAGATCCCTGCAGTCGTCTGCCGACCGACTTACTTCCCGACTGCACGCTTTGTTCTTGCAAGGGATGAATACCGTTATACCATTATACCACTGAACACTCCCCTTTTCCTTGTCACCTCTTATCACCTCTTCTCACCTCTTTATCACCCCCCATCACCTCGTATCACCGCACTGCACCGTTTAGCGAGATGGTGATGTGCAGTGCGGCGTCGGACCTGGTGGTGAAGAAGATGTGTTACCTCTACGTTGCCACCTACGCCGCCACCAAGCCCGAGCTCGCCCTCCTCACCATCAACTTCCTGCAGCGCGACTGCCAGGTGCATGTGGGCTGGTTTGGGCAGGTTTGGGCAGGTTTGGGCAGGTTTGGGCAGGTGGGGGGAATGTTGTCATGATGGTGAATATTGTCATGGATGGATATATGGGTCCCACCAAGCCCGAACTCGCCCTTCTCACCATCAACTTCCTGCAGCGCGACTGCTAGGTAATGCCAGGTGCGAGGCGGTGTGGGGAGGCGTGGGGACGTGTGAGAAGGTGTGGGTGTGGGAAGGTGTGAATATTGTCAAGTATGGGTCTATCTATGGGTCCCACCAAGCCTGAGCGCGCTCTCCTCACCATCAACTTCCTGCAGCGCGACTGCCAGGTCAGGGCAGCTGTGGGCAGGAGTGGGCTGCCCTCCTTGTCGCTTCCTCCCGCTCTTCCCCTCCCGTCTCCCCCCATATCACAGGACGATGACCCAATGATTCGGGGCCTAGCCCTGCGCAACCTGTGCTCTCTGCGAGTGCGGGGCTGGTGGAGTACCTGGTGGGACTGCTGGAGAGACGGCTGAGATGCTTCTTTTCCCACCATCTCTTCAATTTCTTTCCGCCAGGATGACGACCCCATGATTCGGGGCCTGGCCCTGCGCAACCTGTGCGCCCTGCGGGTGCGCGGGCTGGTGGAGTATCTCGTGGGGCCGCTGGAGCGAGGGCTGGGGGACGTGAGTGCGTACGTGAGGGCGGTGGCAGTGATGGGCGTGCTGAAGCTGTATCACCTGGCGCCGGGGGTGTGCCGCGAGCATGGATACATCGGCATGCTCAAGAGGAAACTCTCTGACGACCCAGATGCGCAGGTGAGTTCCGGTTATGCATCCACTCTAAAGGTTCGGGCTTTGGGATGTGAGTGAGGGCAGTGGCGGTGATGGGCGTGCTGAAGCTGTATTGCCTGGCGCCGGGGGTGTGCCGCGAGCATGGTTACATCGGCATGCTGAAAAGAAAGCTCTCCGACGACCCAGATGCACAGGTGGGTTGGGTGGTTGTTATTTGACTCCGAAGTCTCTTGTGACCATACCATACATGTGAGCGCACTACAGCAGGTGCTGTCAGGGAACCTCTCCGTCTCCCTTCCAGATCCGTCCCCTCCCTTCCTCCCCTGATGGTGGTTGAGCCATGTGGTCACATGGTCACATGACACATGGTCACATGACACATGGTCACATGACACATGGTCACATGGTCACATGGCCAACTGTGTGTGACCTCCTCCTCTCTGCTCCTCTCCCTGCCTCGTAATTTACCCTGCCCCTTCCGCCACAGGTGGTGGCCAACTGTGTGAGCGCGCTACAGGAGATACTGGCAGGGGAGTCGCTGGCAGAGGATGGAGATCCCGAGGCCGTGAGGGACCGCGACATGCTGCACGGCCGCGCCCTCGTCTTCTCCCTCCTCAACCGGTTCGTCTGTGTTTTGAAGCGTGTGAGCCCTTGTGTATGTGTATGTGTATGTACATGTGTATGTGCATGTGTATGTGCATGTGCATGTGTATGTGTATGTGTATGTGCATGTGCATGTGCATGTGTATGTGTATGTTTATGTGCATGTGCATGTGCATGTGCATGTGCATGTGTATGTGTATGTGTATGTGTATGTGCATGTGCATGTGTATGTGTATGTGCATGTGCATGTGCATGTGTATGTGCATGTGTATGTGGATGTGTGGAATCGTTTCTGTTCAGAAACCCAGCATGAAGGAAACGAGTGAGTGGGTGCAGTGCACGGTACTAGACCTGGCATCAGCCTTGTGTGAACATTCCTTACTGCCGCCATTCCCTTCACAACCATCTCCGCCCGTGGGTGACTTTTTGAGTCGACTCAAAGGTCACTTCCTTCACAACCGTCTCCGCCCCTCTCTTTGCCCCTCTCTTTGCCCCCTCTCTCTCCTCCCCTCTCTCTTTGCCCCTCTCTCTCTTCCCCTCTCTCTTTGCCCCTCTCTCTCCTCCCCTCTCTCTTTGCCCCTCTCTCTCCTCCCCTCACTCTTTGCCCCTCTGTCTCCTCCCCTCTCTCTCCTCCCCTCTCTCTCCTCCCCTCTCTCTTTGCCCCTCTCTCTCCTCCCCTCTCGCTCCTCCTCACGTCCCCGGGTGGCAAGCAGAATTAAGGAGACGAGTGAGTGGGTGTGGACAGTGCTGGACTTGGTCACTTGGCTAAGACTTTGGGGCATTGCTGCTGCCACTCCCTTCTCTCTCTGCTCTCCCATTCCACCTTTATCCCCCCTCTTCCGCACCCCATTCACAGAATGAAGGAGATGAGTGAGTGGGCGCAGTGCACGGTACTCGATCTGGCATCGCGCTACACCCCATCCCACCCAGACGAGGCGTTTGACCTCATGAACCTGCTGGAGGACCGCCTGCAGCACGCCAACAGCGCTGTTGTGCTCGGCACCGCCAAGCTCTTCCTGCACCTCACACTCTCCATGCCGGACGTGCACCACCAGGTGGGTGAATGATTGGGTAGGCACGTGGGCGCGAGGGAGGGTTGGGTGGGTGGCTGATTAGGTGCGTGGCTGAGTGGGTGCGTGGGAGGGTGTGGCTTGCTCTCTGCGCGTGGCTGTGTGTGTGTGCTGTATGTGTGTGTGCTGTATGTGTGTGTGCTGTATGTGTGTGTGCTGTATGTGTGTGCTGTATATGTGTGTGCTGTATGTGTGTGTGCTGTATGTGTGTGTGCTGTATGTGTGTGTGCTGTATGTGTGTGTGCTGTATGTGTGTGTGCTGTATGTGTGTGTGCTGTATGTGTGTGTGCTGTATGTGTGTGCTGTATGTGTGTGCTGTATGTGTGTGTGCTGTATGTGTGCGAGGCCTTTGACCTCATGAATCTGCTCGAGGACCGCCTGCAGCACGCCAACAGCGCCGTTGTCCTTGCCACTGCCAAGCTGTTTCTGCACCTCACGCTCTCCATGCCAGACGTTCACCACCAGGTGGGTGCGTGGGAGGGTGTGGCTTGCTGTGTGCGCGTGGCGGTGTGTGTGTGCTGTGAGAATGTCTACATCACCCTTGCAGCACGCCAACAGCACCGTTGTCCTCGCCACTGCCAAGCTCTTCCTGCGCCTCACACTCTTCAAGCCAGTTGTGCGCCTCCAGGTGGGTGGGTGGGTGAGTAGGTGGGTGTGGGTGTGGCTGCATGCGCTGCTCTCTGTGTGTCTGGTTCTTCCACCTGTTCCCGCTTCCCAGGAAGCTAACTGATTCCGCAGGTATGAACAACTCGAATTCCTGCTTTCCAGACCAATGACCGTGCTCAGTGCGGCACACACACGAGCACTCATCTTTTGCTGTCCCAGACCATGCGCAGTGACACCAGGTGACACCATGTGCAGTGACACCATGTGACACCATGTGCAGTGACACCATGTGACACCATGTGCAGTGACACCATGTGACACCATGTGCAGTGACACCAGGTGACACCTCTCTCTCTCTCTGCTTATCTCCTGACCCACTTTTTCCCTCTTTCAAGGCAGCTACACTTACTGCTTCTCCCTGCCTCTGTCCGCCATGTATGCCTCCCCGTTGCGCTGCCAGGTGTACGAGCGCATCAAAACCCCGCTGCTCACGCTAGTGGGCACGTGCAGCACAGAGCAGTCCTATGCGGTTCTCTGCCACCTCTCCCTGCTCGTCTCGCGCTGCCCGTCTGTATTCGCAGGCGACTACAAGCATCTGTACTGCAAGGTCCGCGACCCGCCCTATGTGAAGCGCCTCAAGCTGCACATGCTCACGGCTATTGCAAATGACAGCAACACCTACGATATTGGTGAGGGCTGGGAGGGAGAGGGACGGGGTTTGGAGTGATTTTGAACGGAATTGGGAGGGAAGCGTAGTGTGGGAGGGCTGGGAGGGAAAGCGAGGAGCAGGTGGGAGGTGTGGTGGGGGGAGTGGAGGTGGAGCAGGAGGGTTTGTGGAGCAGGAGGGGAGGATATCTGCGACTGCGAGTAACTGAGAGTGATGTTGTGACGTTGCCTGACTCATTCCACCCCTTACCCTCATTCCTTCTTATTCAGTGACGGAGCTGACAGAGTACGCTGTGGATGTGAACACGCCCCTCACCCCTACCCCGTTCGTCTTCCTCCCCTCCCTCCTTATCAGTTACGGAGCTGACAGAGTACTCTGTGGCTGTGGATGTGTCCATTGCACGAGAGGCCATACGAGCGGTGGGGCAGAGAGCATTGCAGAGCTATGATGCCCCTCACCCCCCTCCTTCCTGCTTCTCTTTTCCCACCCTCCTTGCCCAGTGACGGAACTGACAGAGTATGCAGCGGATGTGGATGTGTCCATTACACACCACACGAGCGGTGGGGTAGACAGCACTGCCGAGGCCTTCAGTTGGAGCGGCATTGGTGTGTGTAGCGCGGCCCATTCACATCCCTTGTCCTTCTCCCCCACCCGCCGCCATCAGTGACGGAGCTGACAGAGTATGCAGCGGACGTGGATGTATCGATCGCACGTGAGGCCATCCGCGCAGTATGGCATATAACACTGCAGAGCTACGATGTGAACGCGCCTCATTCCTTCCCTTCGTTCCCTTCCCTCCCCCCCGCACCCCGCCTCGTCCTCTCCTCCTTGCTCAGTGACGGAGTCGACAGAGTGTGCTGCAGATGTGAACACGGCCCTCACCCCTCACCCCTTCGTCTCCCTCCCCTCCCTCCACGCTTAATACTCAGTGACGGAGCTGACAGAGTATGCAGCGGATGTGGATGTATAGATCGCACGTGAGGCGATCAGGGCAGTGGGGCAGATAGCGCTGCAGAGCTACGATGTGAACGGCATTGTGGACCGGCTCATTCCATCGCTTCCTTACCCCTCCCACCCCGCATGACTCAGTGACGGAGCTGACAGAGTATGCTGCGGATGTTGATGTGTCCATTGCACGAGAGGCCATACGGGCAGTGGGGCAGATAGCGCTGCAGAGCTACGATGTGAACGGCATTGTGGACCGGCTGCTGCAGTTCCTGGAGATGGACACTGACTATGTCACTGCGGAGACTCTGGTATGGGCGGGGTATGCATCGGTGATTGTAATGGAAAGCAGATGCCCTCGCAGTGAGTGTGTTGGTGGGTGGGTGCAACGGTGGGTGCAACGGTGGGACCATTGTTGGCCGCCTGCTGCAGTTCCTTGAGATGGATGGACACAGACTATGTCACTGCGGAGACCCTGGTACGGGTGGAGGGATGTGGTACGGGTGCCCCAGCAATGAGGGTGTGGTGTGGGTGGGTGTGAGCAGTGAGGGTTCACTGGCACCATTGTGGGCCGCCTGCTGCAGTTCCCTGAGATGGACACCGTTTATGTCACTGCGGAGACCCTGGTGGGTGGGGGGGTATGTGGTCTGGGTGACACCGACTATGTCACTGCGGAGACCCTGGTGGATGTGGGCCTGTTGGGGTTTGGGGGGTCACAATGGGGGTGGGAGTGTGCATATGCGGCAGTACATGAGGGGCATTGTGGGCCACCTGCTGCAGTTCCAAGAGCTGGACACTGATTATGTCACTGCGTAGACTCTGGTGTGTTCATGTGTGGCTGGATCTGGATGATGATCAGGATTATGGTATGGGTCAGGGTTCTGGTATGGTATGGGTGCGAAAGCAATCATGGTGTATGCGGGTGGGTGCACTGCACTGAAAGCCCACCTTGGTGTATGCGGGTGGGTGCACTGCACTGAAAGCCCACCTTGGTGTATGCGGGTGGGTGCACTGCACTGAAAGCCCACCTTGGTGTATGCGGGTGGGTGCACTGCACTGAAAGCCCACCTTGACCAACTCCAACAGACCCGCTTCGTGGGCCGCCTGTTTTTTTGAGAATTCTCAAAAACCCGCTTGGTGGGCCGCCTGTTGGAGTTCCTCTAGATGGACGCTGCTATGCCACCTCACAGACTCTGGTGGGTGTTTTGGTCTACAAGGGTATTCGCATGGCATTCAGGGCAGCAGACAGGTGGCATTGGTGACTGACTGACAGGGGGACTGACTGACAGGGGGACTGACTGACAGTGGGACTAACTTACAGGGGGACTGACTGACAGTGGGACTGACTGACAGTGGGACTGACTGACAGTGGGACTGACTGACAGGGGGACTGACTGACAGTGGGACTGACTGACAGTAGGACTGACTGACAGTGGGACTGACTGCCAGTGGGACTGACTGACAGTGGGACTGACTGACAGGGGGACTGACTGACAGTGGGACTGACTGACAGTGGGACTGACTGACAGGGGGACTAACTGCTGCATTGCCTGGAGTACTCCAGTCTGCCGCTTCTACCACTCCTCTCCCCTCCTCTCTCTTCCCCCCCCTCCCAGGTGCTGGTGCGTGATCTCCTGCGCAAGTATCCCCAGTGGGCGCAGGACTGCATAGCCGTGGTGGGCTCTGTGAGCTCTCGCTCCGTCACCGACCCGCGGGCCAAGGCAGCTCTGGTGTGGATGCTGGGCGAGTACGGGCAGCACATGGGGGACGCTCCTTACACGCTTGAGGGTTTCGTCAACTCGTGGGAGGAGGAGACAAACGCCGAGGTAATGCTGGGACTGCACAGCACAGCGGCTTGGTTGGTACTGAGTGAATGGCCGACTCGCAGGCCAAGGCCGGTCTGGTGTGGATGCTGCGGGAGTATGGCCAGCACATGGGGCATGCGGCCTACGCCCTTGAAGGTTCTGTCAACTCGAGGGAGGAGGAGAGCAACGCTCGAGGGAGGTAATCCTGAGATGTGCTTTGAGACGCTCCCAAGGGTACAACTAAGAGACGTGTTTTGAGAGGTCCCAATACCCATGGGAGGTGGAAAGAGGTTCTGTGGTAGGCTATGTGATGGTAATTGAAACACGCAATTGAGAAACCAACCCCTTCACACACACACACCACCTTCATCCCTTACCCGTTTCTTTCTCCTCCCCACCCTCACTCACGCTCACACAAACACACCACTCTTCTCTCCCATCTCCTTCTCTCCGTCTCACCTCCTTTCCTCTCCCTCCTAATCGCCCTCCTTCAGGTGCGTCTGGAGCTGCTAACAGCCGCGGCAAAGCTCTTCTTCAAGCTCCCCCCCTCCTCCCCTCCACTCCCCCAAATCCCCCCACACTCCCCACACTCACCACAATTCCTCACGCTCCTCTCCTCCCCAACCGCCCACCATGCAGGTGCGCCTGGAGCTGCTGACAGCCGTGGCAAAGCTCTTCTTCACGCGGCCCTTTTCCTTTCCCCAACTGCGCTTCGCATGTGCTTGCCTATCTTAAACCGCTCTTTGCCTCCCACCAACCCACCTACGTGCAGGTGCGTCTGGAGCTGCTGACAGCCGTGGCGAAGCTGTTCTTCAAGCGCCCCCCCTCTTTCCCCTCACCTCCCCTCCGCACATGGTTTCCGATTCGTTCCCATCCACCTGCAGGTGCGCCTGGAGCTGCTGACAGCCGTGGCGAAGCTCTTCTTCAAGCGCCCCCCCTCTTTCCCCTCACCTCCCCTCCGCACATGGTTTCCGATTCGTTCCCATCCACCTGCAGGTGCGCCTGGAGCTGCTGACAGCCGTGGCGAAGCTCTTCTTCAAGCGCCCCCCCTCTTTCCCCTCACCTCCCCTCCGCACATGGTTTCCGATTCGTTCCCATCCACCTGCAGGTGCGTCTGGAGCTGCTGACAGCCGTGGCGAAGCTCTTCTTCAAGCGCCCCCCCTCTTTTCCCTCACCTCCCCTCCGCACATGGTTTCCGATTCGTTCCCATCCACCTGCAGGTGCGTCTGGAGCTGCTGACAGCCGTGGCGAAGCTCTTCTTCAAGCGCCCCCCCTCTTTCCCCTCACCTCCCCTCCGCACATGGTTTCCGATTCGTTCCCATCCACCTGCAGGTGCGCCTGGAGCTGCTGACAGCCGTGGCGAAGCTCTTCTTCAAGCGCCCCCCCGAGTGCCAGAAGATGCTGGGTGCTGTGCTCGCCCATGGGCTCGCTGAGTCGCAGCAGGTGGGACGCGGTTCTGGCAGGTGGGATGGGGATATGGCAGGTGTGGTGGGGTTGTGACTGGTGGGATGCGGTTGTGGGAAGTGGGTGGGGATACGGGTTGAATGGAGTTATGGAAGGTCGGAATATGAACTCTCTGGATCCTTAGTCTGTACAACATGTCTGAATCTGCCCTTCTTCTTCAAACCCCACAGCAAGTGCATGACCATGCACTGTTGCATTGCATGAATCATGCTTGAATCACTGCCCCATGCAAGCACCTCCCAATCTGCCCTTTCCTGCCAACCACAGGACGTGCATGACGGGGCTCTTCTCTACTATCGGTTGCTGCGAGCAGGCGTGGGCGTGGCAGAGCAGGTGATCAACCCGGAAAAGCATCCCATGTGTGTGTGTATACCCTCATCTGCCCATTTCCTTGGGAACAACAGGACGTGCATGACAGGGCGCTGCTGTACTATCGGCTGCTGCGAGCGGGAGTGGGCGTGGTAGAGCAGGTGATCAACCCGGAGAAGCAGCCAGTGTCAGTGTGCCACCCCCTCATATGCCCTTGTGTGTGACCAACCCTTTCCCTCTTTTGACCACAGGACGTGCATGACCGCGCGCTGCTATACTATCGGTTGCTGCGAGCGGGAGTGGGCGTGGCGGAGCAGGTGATCAACCCGGAGAAGCAGCCGGTGTCGGTCTTTGTGGACTCGCAAGGCAGTGAGACGCGCGACCGCATCTTCGATGAGTTCAACTCCCTCTCTGTTGTTTACCAAAAGGTGAGCGCGTGCCACAAGGTGTGTGTGTTCTCATGGGGCTTGTCAAGGCGCGTGCCACAAGGTTTGAGCCTGGGACCACAAGGTGTGAGTCTGGGACCACAAGGTGTGAGTCTGGGACCACAAGGTGTGAGCCTGGGACCACAAGGTGTGAGCCTGGGACCACAAGGTGTGAGCCTGGGACCACAAGGTGCACACCACAGGGTGAAACTGACTTCCTGGATTCTCTTTTGTATGACATGCATGTGCCCATGGGTTGAAGGCACGGATACTTGCATCATGTGCAGCACGAGCAACTCAGTTTAATCCACAACCCGTTCTCCCTCTCCCCTTGCTGCTTCCTCCACGGTCCACCCACATGCCGTTCAGCCGGCATACCTGTTCCTAGACAAAGACAAGCGCAGCCTGCTCCACGCCGAATACATCCGAATCTCTTGAGGCATCTCAAATTCTGTGCTTCCATTTTCCTCCACCCACATGCCGTTCAGCCGGCATACCTGTTCCTAGACAAGGACAAGCGCAGCCTGCTCCACGCCGAATACACATCCGTGGCCTCTGCCGCTGCTGCTGCTGATTTTTAGCCGACTTGAAAAGCACCCATCCCCTCTCTCTCCCCTTGCTGCCATCCCTCCCTCCCGACCTACATGCCATCCAGCCAGCATACCTGTTTCTCGACAAGGATCAGCGCAGCCTGCTCGACGCCGAATACACCTCCGTGGCCTCTGCCGCCGCCGCCGCCGCTTCTGCTGCTGCCGCGGCGGCCAGTGCTCCTGCCACTGCTGCAGCTGCCCCATCTGCTCGTGCGTCACAGGGCGAATCTGCTGCCTCGCTCCTCGACGCCTCTGACAGGGAGCATGCTGACTCGCCTCTCATCTCCACCGCTGCTGTGCCCAACGGCCATGCTGCTGCTGGTGCTGCTGGTAGTGCTGGTGCTGGTGGTGCAGCAGCAGCAGCGGCTCCTCTGCTGCCGTTGGATCTTCTATCAGATGGACCCGCACGTCCTGCTGCTGCTGCTCCTGCTGTCCCTCCTCCTGCAGCAGCATTGGACCCCTTTGCAGAGCTAGCGAGCACACAATCCGCCCATTCAGATACTCCCAGCGCAGCAGCAACAGCACCATCAGCAGCTGCCAGCACAGCACCTGCAGCATCAGCAGCTGCCTGCACAGCACCTGCAGCCGCCCCTGCAGGAGCCACAGGAGGAGGCACCACGGGGTTCGACTCCATAGACAGCCTGCTGGGCCTGGCAGCGCCTTCCCAAGCGACAGGTGGCGGAGCGGGATTGGAGGACATGCTGTCAGGGGGGCATGCACCTGTGCGGCCGGCGCTAGTGCTGAGTGCCAAGGCGTCCCTGGATGCACCGTCCTTCCAGCGCACGTGGAGCCAGCTGCCTGTCGCTGCTACTCTCGTGAGTGCCTCTCCCTTTCGTGTTGTTGGTGGCTAGTTTCACCTGTTTTTTTTTTTTTTTTTTTGTCTTTTGTTTTTGCATGTCACTGTGTGAGGTCATGAGTTCCTTTGTTGCGTGGGATTTCTCCAACCTGGTCCCACTCGTTTTTCTCATGCCTATGTGCAGGAGGAGAAACTGCCTGGAACTTTCATCACTGCACTGACAGCGCCAGCCCCTCTTTTAAGGCACATGGTCCACAGGAACATCCAGTGCATGGCATCAGGCGGCCAACGCCCTGCCTTCAGATTCTTCTTCTACGCGCAAAAGGCCGATGCGGCGCCAGGTGGCATGTTTCTAGTGGAGCTGCAGGTGAACACAAGTGCTGCCACGGCAAGTGGCAAGGTGAAGGGGGCGGCAGGAGCAGCTGACGAGTTTGCTGCCTTGTTTCGTGACGCCTTGCTGTCATTTGGCCAGCTCGTTTAGATTGGGGATGCTGCCTGCTTATAATTTTATGCTAAGCCCTTACCGACACAGCTTTGTTGTGTGAATGAACATGCAACGTTACAAACCCAGGAGCAAACAATTGGCTTTTAGGCCACACATGGAGCAAAATCATTCTGAATTTCTGATATCAAGGCTATCCACACAACCAGGCTGGATTCACTGCTGTTGTGGAATATACGTTTCTTGTTACAATTTCACACAAACCACATGAACGATTTGTTGACTTCCACGACTACGATTCGACGAACATCGCCGGCTGATCACGAAAACATGGTTCCGCAATCCACCAGCAACCAGATGGGAGTTACAGCTCGCGTCCGTCCCGTCTGGTTCACGTTGCGCTTGTACCTCGAGCAAATCCTCAATTCTTGCCAAGTCAATTTGGAATGTCGCTCAGCGAAACAAGTTTCGCGTGCCCGTTACGATTAAAGACCTGGCTTGCGACTGTGTTACCAGCATGAAGCTGGAATCTCGCCGTAGTGCTTCAGGAAGAATTTTGAGCCTGATTGCGGTCATATTCTTTCGCGGAAGATCGCGCGCCAGTCAGTATTCCAGATGCACACACGCCACGCGAAAGTGAAGTCCACCATTCCATCCCAGCAGCATCGTGGCGCGACAAGGCCTCAGCCAAATGCGCGGCTCCGCATGTGAGCTGGTGAATACAAAACCAGCACGACCTCACTCCAACCACCACCAACAAATTCAAGCACTAACAACACTAACTCGACGTCCTAGCTTCTATCACCTTTGGTTCCTCTTCAATTCGTAGCAAAGCGACGACAATCAACCGTTACGCAGTGCTACATTCACTACCAGCACGCGAAAGGCTGACATTCACCATGAGGCATGCTCCAACGATCGTGATGCTGCTGCTCCTCTGTGCATTTCTCCTAGCCGCGCAGCCATCCAGTGCAAGCCGCGCATCTTGGCGCCACCTGAACCGCGCATGGCGGAACTGCGGGGAGAATGCTCACCTCGCGGCGCCCTCCCGCGGAAACTCCGGAAAATTTTCAGCGCCATCAGCCGTCTACATCGTTCGCCTGAGATCGGCTCCTCCCCTTTCCGAATATCGCGGCGGAATCGCGGGCTACCACGCGACGGCCACGTGGGACGACGGCAGCGACGAGGAGGACAGTGATGCCGTGCCGCAGATGATTCTCCCCGCCGGCGATTCCGCCGAAGCCGCAAGCGGCGAGTCCGTCGACCTGGACGACACTGACGGCGACCACCTCCTCCCCAAGTTGAACGCAACTGTGACCGCGCCGCCCCCAAACGGCACATCTGACGCCGCCGCTGCTACTCCCAGCGGTCGCGGCGGTAACGGTAAAGGTAACGGAGGTCGTAACGGCGGCGGCGGGTGCCCGCGACACCGGCTGATTCTGAGCATGGACCGCCCCCAGGTGGCGGCGTTTGCGGGGCTGCTGCAGCGGCAGCAGGCGCAGGTCGTCACAAAAAATGGGACGCCCAAAAACTGTCAACAATTGGCGTATCCAGCAGGCATGCGCTGCCGGGCATGGCCTAGAAAGCTGTTAGCACACACAAAGCAATCATTTTGAGCCAAGGAAGGCAGATGCACTGTCACCGTCTAGCCGAGCAATGGAACCCTTTTCACATTGTGTTTCCTGGAGGGGTGTGTGTTATGAGCACAGCCGGTTGGCCAACTGAGCGGTACAGAATCTTCCACTACTGTTGTTACAATTGGAGCTCTGGTTCATCAAAATAGGATACGAATTTGTGAGCACGTTGAGAAAAACCTTTTGGGCTTATAAAAATCGTGATTACAGCGGCAGTATTTTGGATAAGGCATTGCTGACGCGGCGACAACATCCAATTGTGCAGTGTGTGGTTTGAAATTCGGATGTTATAGCTCGGATGTCACACTCCTGTGGCTGACGATTCGCCTAGGGTTACCCAGAATCTCGTCGTCAGCCACGTATCGCATCCTGTCAAAGGATGATATGCTAAGGGTTACAGTTACTTTGTCGTCAGCCAATCTTCGCCAACCAGGATCCCTCGTGAGCCAATTATTTGATCCACACACATGCCACCAAGCCAACTCAAAGCAATATTCGCACAACAGTTCGCCAAGAATCGCCATTATGCATTCTAGAGACAGTGACTGGTCCTTCTCGCTTCAAATTTTAGGCCCATCTCATTTCAGCTTCATTTTTACCAGAATTCTCATACTCCTTCATCTCAGTGTCCTAGCGCACTGCACTAGTTGTTCCACTTCTCCGTTCTTTCCTGCGCCCTAAGTTCTTAAGTCCAATTTTATATTTCCCGTTCGTTGTCTTCTGTTCCCCCCTCCACCAGGTCCAGACATGGTTGCGTAGCGTGCCAGTATGAAGGAGCTTATCCCGCCTGTGTCAATATGGCGACGGCGTGATAGTCAGAACGCTTACCCTCCCTACATCAGTCGTCTGGAGATTAGGTAAGTTTTTATTCCAACGATGAATCCCTAAACATGCATCTTGTCCGTGTCTGTTATATTCCCAGGAGAAATCCGTTCGTAACAGGGTGCAGGAGCATTCTACGTGCCTTTTCGAATTTGTCCCTGCTTTCGGAAGTATATACCAGACGACGAAACAGTTTCGGTCAACATCTGCGTCATGCAAGTTAGGTAAGTCCACTGTAACATTCTCGTTGCTCTTTGCTGCCTAACTCGTCTTCGTGTGTTTGGTCTATGCTGTCTAGCTCGGCTCCGTGTGTTGGGTTGTTGCAGATTTGAAGTGTCGGCCTGTTTGTTACCATTGTGCATGCTGCAATTATGGGTGTAAATACGGTATTGTTTTGTCCCGTTGAGCAAATGGTCACCGCTTGCTTGTCTTGGTTAAAACTAGACCATCTTGATTGTGAATGTTTATAAAATGTACGATATTGCATAAACCTACAATAAACATGCCAAACGTTTACCATTTTTTGCCACACAATGTGAGGACAGAATGTGACAAATTCTCTACGCGTGTTGCGTAATGTGATGCAGTTTTGTATACGGTAATATTGTTTTCTGGATCGAGCAGAGTATGAAAACTTTTGTTGACGGTAACGTTCTTTGGTCCGTTACAAGTTTGCCTTGTATGAAATTCCCACGATCCCTGTAGTGAGTATGAGAACTGTTCTGTGTATGCTGAGGCACTCCTTGCCGAGCCTAACGAAAATTGCCAAGGCAATCCTTCCAATCAATCCTCAAACACTTCTCAGCTTGGTGAGCATTCCGCTAGATAGACCTCCAGCATTGGTGCTGGGGACAAACTAACAACAGTCCTTGAGCAATGCAAAAGCAAGGATTTTCCCCCATTTTTTTTGTGACGGTGGCATCTGAGGCGAGCATACCCGAGGACGGGCTGATCTACAGCTACAAGCACACGTCCAACGGCTTCGTCGTGCGCCTCACGCCGCGCCAGCTGTGGCGGTTGCGGCGCCACCCCGCCGTGGCGTCCGTCCGCGCCAGCCGCGTGTTCCGCGCGCAGACGACCGACTCGCCGCAGTTCCTGGGGCTGCCCGGGCAGGTGTGGCCGGCAGTGGGCGGGCAGAGCAAGGCGGGCGAGGGCACGGTGGTGGGGATCGTGGACTCGGGTATCTGGCCCGAACACCCGTCCTTCAGCGATAAGGGCCTCTCCTCGCAGCTGCCCGCGGGGTGGAAGGGCAAGTGCGAGCAGTCGAGCTCGTTCCGGTGCAACAACAAGGTGATCGGCGCCAGGGCCTTCTATGCCGGCTTCCAGCAGGAGAGCGGCAGCCCCGTGTTGACCAACGACTGGCTCACGCCGCGAGATGCCGACGGCCATGGCACGTGGTGCGCGGGGGCAGCCGCGGGGAACCCCGTGCAGGTGACGGGCGGCGGGCAGATGAGCGGCATGGCGCCAGCAGCGCGCATTGTGGTGTACAAGGTATTTTGGACGAGCCAGGATGGGAATTTGACTGCGGCAGAGTCAGATATCATCGCAGCCGTCAATCAGGGCGTGGCGGACGGTGTGGATGTGCTGTCGCTGTCTCTGGGGGTCGTGGATCCCGAGCAGAATTATTTCAACGATCTCGCTTTCATGCGAGCCAATGCTGCCGGGGTGTTTGTCGCCTTAGCTGCCGGCAACGCAGGGCCTCCAGGTGGTGGTGGGTTCTACCGCACAATTGACAACTTCTCGCCTTTCTACCTGACCGTTGGCGCCAGCAGCGTTGACCGAGGTGGCGCGTCCCTCGCCTCCTCAACTGCCGGCGCCCAGTCGCTCGCTCTTGGTGCCACCATCAGCAGCAACGGCACCGACGGCAGCACCAGCGGTAACTTCAATGGCAACAGCACGGACGGCAGCAGCAGCACCGTTCTGACCGCCGACGGTGGGATCACCTTCACCTCCTCCTCCTCCTCCGCCCCGGTGGTGTATGACTTGTCTTCCTGCGGCCCCCTGCTGCCGCCCTCCGCCACGGCCCAGCCGCCCAAGCCAGGCAACGCCATCCTGAAGCCTGACATCATCGGCCCCGGAGTGGACCTCATAGGCGCTGCTCCCGGCAAGAAACCAGGCGAGCTAGGCGTTGTCGTGCGCGCGTCGGGTACTTCCATGGCCACCCCGCATTTAGCAGGGCTAGCCGCAATAATTATCCAGAAGCACCCCAACTGGACCCCGGCGCAGGTGATGTCAGCGCTGATGACGACGGCGCGGGTGACAGACACGAGCAAGAGCCCGATCAAGAGTGCGACAGGCGGAGACGCCACCCCGTGGGAGATGGGCGCAGGCCACGTGTTCCCCCCGGCCATGCTCGACCCCGGGCTTACTTACGATGTCCGCGACCGCGACTACCAGAATTTCCTGGCCGGGCAGGACCTCAACCGCGCGAAAAAGGAGTTCCCAGGGGTGGCGCTCTCTCCTCTGGCTGTTCGCAACCTCAACCTGCCCACCATCACTCTGCCTCGCCTGCAGGGCTCCCTGCAGGTCACACGCACCGTCACCAACGTGGGGAAGTGTCGCTCCACATACAGCATATCTGGGAAGGCGCCGCAGGGGGTGAAGCTGACTGTGTCTTCAAAGACCCTCACGCTGGCTCCCGGGGAGAAGGCCACGTACACGCTGACGGTCACAGTGGATACCCCCAGTAATGACTTCAAGTACGGGTTTATAGTGTGGGCCGACGACCAGGGCCACAGCGTGCGGTCTCCCCTCGTGGTTCAGCCAATCTCCCGCTGAGGGGTAGAGCCGTGTGAGGCTCTTTCGTGCCGAGGTTTTAGTAGGTGGGATTGCGTGTCCCTTCTCAATTGAAGGGATATCATTGTGGCGCATGGTATGGCAGTGTATTGGCGCATGGCTTGGCAGTGCCACTCTTCGTGGCACACGGGAGCACTTTATAAACAACTGATCCGGAAGAGCTTGGTGTGTGTAGTACGAGTGACTATTTACGTTGGAGCTGGTGATATAGTGTTAGGCTGATCTATTGTTTCCTTAATATTTATTGAATTTGTTCCCTTCCAACAACCACACTAAAACTGATTACAAAAACAACGTTATACATAATCAAGGTAAACCCACAGACACTACCACTCAAGAAACCAAACACAATGCCCCAGTGCTCTGAGAGAGTGGAGTTGAGCATAACTTAAGTTCCCTACCCTGAAGGTCCGCCCCTCAGAGCACATCCAAGGCCCAGCTGTCACAGCAGCTTGCACTGCTTCAATTACAGTACCTTAGTACCTTGCAGGCTTGCACCTTTATATCTCTTAACACATCACTCACTCCAGACAACGCTTATTCCTCCGAACACTCACTTTCCTCACATGCCCCACACATCAGCCAGCTGGCGCCTGTAGTCACTAGCTGAGCGCCCCACCCAGCTGCCCCCATCGGCGCTCACCACCTGCCAAGGGAGCAGTGGAAGGAACCGACTAGCGGTGCGCTGAGGGAGAGGGAAGATGATAATGATGAAGTTGTTGGTGAGTCTGTTTTCCCTGGGGGTGCCGTACGAATGCAGATGGAGAAGTGGAAGGAGTCGACGAGTGGCGCGCTGAGGAAGCTGCTGGTGAGCTGCAGTGGCTGGGATTCATTTTCATCTGAGTGAACTGGTTTTCAAAATACACTCTTCTTCAGCTGTCGCACTCGTGTGTAAGCTTTTCTAGCCCGCACAAGGCAAAGAAGGCTTCCACTTTTCCTTTTCCTCCCTTGTCACTCTCCCTCTTTCCATGTCTGCTAACTTTCCTCAGTACCTCTCTCCACTCCCCCTACCCCTCTCTCTTCCCCCTTTCCCCCCCTCCCTCCCCATTCGCCCTCCCCCATACCCACTCATTCTGCCCACATTCCTCTCGTGTATTCTAACAGCGGAGGAGCAGGGGGAGGAGTAATCGGTAGGTCTGGCCCCTGCTTCAGCAGACGATGCACCTTCCACTCTCTCCTTTGCTGCTGCTGCGCTCTCCCTGGCCAAGGAGGGGGGCGGCAAGGAGGAAGGTGGTGGCGGAGGAGGGGGGAAGGACGGGGCAGGGGGAGAAGGGAGAAAGGGGCCGTCAGAACTAGCAAGGCCAACGGGGCGGGTGGTGGGGGTGATCAAGCGCAACTGGCGCACGTGAGTAGGGGAAGGGACAAGTGGGGAAGGTGAATGGGGGTAGGGGAAACTGGCGCACTTGAGTGGGGGGAGGGGCAGCTGGCGCACTTGAGTGGGGGGAGGGGCAACTGCGCACTCGAGTGTGTGATGGGGAGGGGGAGGGGGGGAGAGTCGAGAGCATGTGAGGTGCTGCACGCGCAAAGAGGCACCTTGGGTGCTCTTTCTTCCTTGCAATTGTCTCCCTGGAGTTGCCTCTTCACAAAGAGGCAAGTTGAGTATTCTAATAAATGAGGGGAAAGGGGGAGAAACCGAGAGCATGCGATCTGCGCTTTCTACCTTGAAATTGCCTCGGTGTTGCATCTTGGCAATGAGGCAACTTTGTGACTTTTGAGTCAACTCAAAAGAGCTGCCTCTTGGCAAAGAGACAACTTTCCTGCACACGTGAGTAGAGTACTAGAGTATCCCTAAAGTTGCCGCTCTTGCCGCTGTCAGCCGCAGGGCGCCTCGTGACTCAACTCTCAGCTCAACGTTGGTACGTCCGTTCTTGCTCCACTCTACATGGCAACATTTCCCATAAGCTTGTCCTCACGCCCCTTTTCCTCGTCCCAAACCCCTTGCCATCACCATCTCATTTCTGCCAGTGCCACCCTGCCCTTCCTGTATCTGCTGCAAATAGCAGCCCATGGCCCCCATTCCTGCTCCTTCCCTTGTTCTCTCCTTCATGGAATGTACCTAGTGCGAGAGGCCAACCACGTAATAGAGGAGTTCATGCTACCTTTCATGCCCCCCCTCTTATCCTCCTCTCTGCATCTGTTTGTATTCATCTCGTCTCCCTCGCTCTCTGCCCATCAGGCATGTACCTAGTGCGAAAGGCCAACCACCTGATAGAGGAGTTCATGCTGCCATGTGATGAATGCCCTCTTTCAATTCTCACCCCTTTTGGTTATCTCCGCCTCCCTACTATCCGTCCCCCTCCGTCCATCAGGCATGTACCTGGTGCGAGAGGCCAATCACATGATAATTGAGTTCATGCTGGCAGCCAACGTGTTCGCGGTTGAGAAGATCCTCCAATACTTCGGCTCCTACTCCATGCTCAGGTGATTTTCCACTGAGACCTCAGGTGAAATATCAGGTGTTATCTCAGGTGCAATGTCAGGTGCGATGTCAGATGGAGGGTGCATAGGAGGAGACTCACATGTGAGAGCTCATTTTTACAATGAGCACCTTTCGCATGTCTCTCTCAAGGACCCAACTTTCTCTCCCTATATTTCTCTCCCACACACAGGTAGCACTCCACCCCCTCGCCCAACATGTTTGAACCACTGCTGCGGACAACAGAGGCAGTGGGGATCGACGCGGTTGAGCAAAATTACAGTACTCACCTTCTCCTCATATTCCTCACAAGTTCCTCCCCCGCCACTCCCTTTCCATGTTTCTCTCACACACAGGCGGCACCCCACCCCATCACCCAACATGTTTGAGCCGCTGCTGCGCACAGCAGAGGCGGTGGGGATTGCAGTTGACACGTCCTCCTCCAAGAATCTCGCTGACTCGCTTGACCGCACTATGGTGAGCTAGTTGGCATGGCTTGTGATGTGTCAAAACATGTTTGAGATGTGTAGAGTCGACTCGAAACACGACACATTTCAGGCAGTGGGGGTCGCTATGGACACCTCCTCCTCCAAGAACCTTGCTGACTCGCTTGACCAAGCTGTGGTGAGCTGCTTGACTATCCAGCCGTCAATTTGCGCCACCTCGTCATTGGCATTCTCGTCGTTGTCATGTCTGCCTCATTTATCTTCCCCATTCGATTTTCAAGCCCTCACCTCTACTCCAGATGATAGCTTTCCTCTCTTGAAGTGGTTGTGTGCAACTCTCCATCGCTCCCAAGGCCCAGACCCGTACTTCAAGAAGCTCATCCGCAGTCTCACCGCGCGCCCAGCACAGACCTCTGTGGCTTGGCCGAGAAGAGCATTGCAAGCTCATTCGTCTCAAGGCTGATTTCCCCCTCTTGGCCCCGTTGTTTGCCTTGCCCCTGTGTGTCCCTTCCAGGGCCCAGACCCGTACTTCGATAAGCTTATCCGCATCCCCACCACTCGCCCGCAGGGACCTCTGTGGAGTCGACTAAAACATCTCCCCAACTCGAATCGTACCTTATTTTCCCCCTCTTGACCCATTGCGTTTGCCTCTTTGTCACTCTCAGGGCCCTGACCCTCATTTCAAAAAGCTTATCCGCATCCTCACCACTCGCTGCATGACTCAGGTGGGAGCCCACGGCATACACAGGTTAGGGACATGCGTGGTATGGGAGACTGTGTGCTACACAAGTACAGAACTCAAATGTTAGCTGAGACGGCACTGATGCATGATGGCCTAGGTGTGTATGCATGCATACGTAGGGCTAGGGTGCATGCATGGGAGCAGGGTGTGAGCAGGTTACCCGAGGCCCCTCCCAATCCTCTCCCAATAAGCTCTCTACCTCCCTCCCCTCCCCCCAATACACTTCGCACATTCCCCCACGCCTCTTTTCCAAGGCGGTGTATTTCCTCAATGGTAAGCTAGCCCCTGTAGAGTACCACCACTACGGCCAAGCAGCCTTTAAATGTGTGCCCTTCTTTCCCGCACACAATCTGTCTCTTCGCCCCTCAGCCCCCCTCCCCCCCCCCCCCCCCCCCCCCCCCGATGTCTCCCCAGGCGGTGTATTTCCCCAGCGGCCAGCTCGCCCCTGCAGAGAACCACCACTACGGGCTCGCATCCTTCACATTCGTGCCCTCTAGCTCTCGTTCACGCACACAACCCGTCTCTTTGCCCCAAACCCAACATCTCCCCAGGCGGTGTATTTCCCCAGCGGCCAGCTCACCCCTGCAGAGAACCACCACTACGGGCTCGCATCCTTCACATTCATGCCCTCTAGCTCTCGTTCACGCACACAACCCGTCTCTTTGCCCCAAACCCAACATCTCCGCAGGCGGTGTATTTCCCCAGCGGCTAGCTCGACCCTGCAGTGTACCACCACTACGGGCTAGCTGCCCATCCGCTGATACGCCGGTGAGACACTTGGCGCCTGGCTTATGACGCGTGTAGAAAGTCTCCTGCAGAGTACCACCCATTACGACCTCGCAAGCCCCATCTACACGCACTTCACCTCGCCCATCCGCCGCTATGCGGGTGAGTTGTGAGTCATCTCAACAGTCGAGGTTGATTCGAAAGCGATACAGTGCTTGGCTTTCCGAGGTCCCCTGCAGAGTACCACCACCACGGCCTCGCAACCCCAATCTATACCTACTTCAACCCTCCGCACCCGTGAATTCACCCACACCCACACCCATGCCGACATAGTATGCATCGTCTGCTGGCCGCGAGCGAATTTCCGCTCCATGGACTCCCACCCCTACCCCACTCCCCATCACTTACCCACATCCAAGCAGACGTGGTGGTGCATCGCCTGCTGGCCGCAGCCATAGGGTTGACACCGCTGCCGGATCAGACCAAGGATAAGATTGCTCTCACTGCCCTCACTGACAGTAAGCACTTCTGCATCCAAAACCACCACATGCAATGCAGCTCTGTCCGTTACATGCGTTCCAGCATGTGCAGCCATAGGGTTGACGCCGCTGCCGGATCAGACTAAGGATAAGACTGCACTCACCGCCCTCACTTACAGTAAGCACCACCATAGTGGCGAAATTTCCCTTTCTGTCCAGTCTCTTTGTCTCTTGCATCACCACAGTAGTGTGATTTTCTCCTAGTAAACGTCCGTCGCTGTGGTATGGAGTCAGTGCAATACGAGGCCTTGACAGCACGTAGAAACAGCAGGCGCCAAATTGCATAGCATGTGCTTATGTGAACTCTGCATATAATATTCAGGTGACTGTGATCTCAAAAACCGTCATGAACGTGCCATAGCTGTGTCAAAAAAGTTGTTGAAACCACTCCTCTGCCTCTCGTTGCTTCTACCCCCCCCCCCTCACCCCATGCCTCCCTCTCTCCCCACACACTTCCTTGTCTTCCACCTGGACTGCCCTCACTCCTCCCTAATTCTCTTTCCCTCCAACCCTCCTCCCCGCTGTGCCAGACCTCAACTATCGCAACCGCAATGCTCAGATGGCGGGGCGAGCATCGGTGGAGCTTCACACGCTCATCTTCTTTCGCACTCGGTGAGCTATCAGCATGGGGTCGATCTCTTTTCTCTTGCAACCTCTCTCGTCTTGCACGTGTGGTCGATCTCTTTTCTCTTGCAACCTCTCTCGTCTTGCACATGTGGTCGATCTCTTTTTCTCTCACTCCCTCACATACTCACCGCCGTTCTCTCTAACCTGTCTCTCCTCTCATCATTTGCTCTCGAGCCCAACGGATGTGGAGGGTCGGATAGTGATGGTTCGCTCCAATGGGCTGATTGTCTTCGTGCCCAAGTAAGCAGCACTCCTTTCTCTTTCTTTCTTTCGATTTTTTTTTTCTTTCTTTTTTCCCCTTCGAGATTTATGTGTCCATACTGTGTACAAAAACGTCACTTTCTGTGGTGTTTTGTGTTTGCACAACTTACGACTGTTGCACAACCTGTGCAATGTATTTTCCCTTTCTTTGCCCCATTCTAGGTATGGCATAGAGGGACCAGTTTATCTCGTACCCAAGGAACCTCCCAAGGGGAAAGCTGTTGCAGTTGCTCTTGCCAACAAGATCGATAGGAATGCGCCGTCAAGCGACTGGGTGGTGGATGATAAGTCGCAGACGGTGGAGTCAAAAGACGGAAAGCGGCGATTCAAGGTGTTGGACACGGTTACTTACACAGTGAGGTCATTGAGCCACAGCCCAATCGGCCCAAGCTGTCACTTACGCTAGTGAGCCAATGATGTGCATATTGAATAACCAGACTATAGTCAAATAAAGTATCATTACTGTACCCACCATTGATCAAACTTATTGCTCGTTGCCAGAGGTCTCTGACCAACAGTTGACTTCAGTGACTGTATTTTGCCGAATCAAAGACCGCAAGTTACCAACACTTCGTACTTATTCCGGCACGAATTTCCCTGGGCAGGAGATCTGATGCGAACGCAAGTGCTGGTAACCACAAGCCTCTGAAGCACAGGGTTTGTCCCGTCTCGTGCACGCTCGGACCAAGCGTGAAGTGCCGTCACGGCTTGTAAAGAGCCATTGTGGAGGGTGTGGTTGCGAATGCGTTAACGAGAGCGTGATTGCATCTCGAAGCCCCCGAGGCAGGGTTACAGTTCTTTGTTCTAGGACAAGAAATGTTTCACGATGCTGGCGAAACATTGTTCAACCAAAGCTGCAGGAGTCCGAGATTTCCCCCACCAGGGGCATCGCGGCGCGACGAGGCCTCGACCCAAACGTGGCGCTGACGCTTGGCATGTGAGCTGGTGAGTACAAAACAAGGCATAACCCCACTCGAACCAGCATCACAATTCAGTTCCTTGATTCGTTCTGCTACTACGACTACTTGTTTTAGGCCAATAACGCCTGCAGGCAACCGTGACAGGCACCACTAGAACCAGTAACTGCCCGCAGAGATTTCATATATCGCCATGAGGGACGTTTCTGCAATCTTTATGCTACTGCTTCTCGCCGCATTCCTCCTGGCGGCGCAGCCATCCAGTGCAAGTCGCGAATCAGCTTGGCGCAACTTGAACCGCGCTTGGCGGAACGGCGGCGAGAATGCTCACTTCTCGGCGACCTCCCGCAGCAACTCCGGAAATTTTGCAACGCCAGCTGCCGACGGCTCCGCGGTATACATTGTTCGCCTGAGCACGGCGCCTCCCCTCACCGAATATCGCGGCGGAATTGCGGGCTACCCCGCGACGGCCACGTGGGACGACGGCAGCGACGAAGAGGACAGTGAGGAAGTGCCGCAGATGATTCTCCCCGCCGGAGATTCCGCCGCCGCCGCAGGCGGCGAGTCCGTCGATCTGGACGACACCGACGGCGACCAGCAGCTCTCAAACGCGACGGTGCCATCATCACCGCCCGCAAACGGCACATCTGATGCCACCGCCACTCCGAGCGCTCGCGGCGGTCGCGGCGGTAACGGTAACGGCGGTCGGAATGGCGGCGCCGGGTGCCCGCGGCACCGGCTGAGTCTGAGCATGGACCGCCCCCAGGTGGCGGCGTTCGCGGGGCTGCTGCAGCGGCAGCAGGCGCAGGTGGCATCTGAGGCAGGCGTACCCGAGGATGGGCTGCTCTACAGCTACAAGCACACGTCCAACGGCTTCGCCGCGCGCCTCACGCCGCGCCAGCTGTGGCGGCTGCGGCGCAACCCCGCCGTGGCGTCCGTCCGCGCCAGCCGCGTGTTCAGCCGGCAGACGACCGACTCTCCGCAGTTCCTGGGGCTGCCCGGAAAGGTGTGGCCGGCAGTTGGCGGGCAGAGCAAGGCGGGCGAGGGCACGGTGGTGGGGATCGTGGACACGGGTATCTGGCCCGAACACCCTTCCTTCAGCGATAAGGGCCTCTCCGCGCAGCTGCCCGCGGGGTGGAAGGGCAAGTGCGAGCAGTCGAGCTCGTTCCGGTGCAACAACAAGTTGATCGGCGCCAAGGCCTTCTATGCCGGCTTCCAGCAGAGCTACGGCCGGCCCGTGCTGAGCAACGACTGGCTCACGCCGCGAGATGCGGACGGCCATGGCACGTGGTGCGCGGGGGCGGCCGCGGGCAACCCCGTGAATGTGAAGGGCGGCGGGCAGGTGAGCGGCATGGCGCCGGCAGCGCGCATTGCGGCGTACAAGGTCTTCTGGAAGGACAGCAACGGGGCAATGACCGCGATGGAGTCAGATATCATCGCAGCCGTCAATCAGGGCGTGGCGGACGGTGTGGATGTGCTGTCGCTGTCTCTGGGCAGCAAGATTCCCGATCCCAACGACCACTATTTCAACGATCTCGCTTTCATGCGCGCCAATGCTGCCGGGGTGTTTGTCACCTTTGCTGCCGGCAACAGCGGGCCTCCCGGGAGTATTGGTGGAGGGTACTACCGCACGTTGGACAACTTCGCGCCTTTCTACCTCACTGTTGGCGCCAGCACCATTGCCCGAGGCGGCGCGTCCCTCGCCTCCTCAACTGCCGGCGCTCAGTCGCTCGCTCTCGGCGCCACCACCAGCAGCAACGGCACTGGAAGCACGGACGGCAGCAGCAGCACCGTTCTGACTGCTGACGGCGGGATCACGTTCATTACTGCCTCCTCCTCCGCCCCCGTGGTGGCTGACTTCTCTTCCCGCGGCCCCCTGCTGCAGCCCTCCGCCACGGCCCAGCCGCCCAAGGCAAGCAACGCCATCTTAAAGCCCGACATCATCGGCCCTGGAGTGAACCTCTTAGCTGCCTTTCCTGGCAAGAAACCCGGTGAAACCGGCAGTCTTGCCAGCATGTCGGGCACTTCCATGGCCACCCCGCATTTAGCCGGGCTAGCCGCTTTAATCATCCAGAAGTACCCCAACTGGACCCCGGCGCAGGTGATGTCAGCGCTGATGACGACGGTGCGGGTGACGGACACGAGCAAGAGCCCGATCAAGAGTTCGACGGGCAGGGAGGCCACCCCGTGGGAGATGGGCGCAGGCCACGTGTTCCCCCCGGCCATGCTCGACCCCGGGCTTACCTACGATGTCCGCGACCGTGACTACCAGAATTTCCTTGCCGGGCAGGACCTCAACCGCGCGACAAGGGAGTTCTGGGGGGTGAAGCTCTCTCCTCTGGCTGTTCGCAACGTCAACCTGCCCACCATCACTCTGCCTCGCCTGCAGGGATCCCTGCAGGTCACCCGCACCGTCACCAACGTGGGGCAGTCCCGGTCCACATACAGCATATCTGGGAAGGCGCCGCAGGGGGTGAAGGTGACTTCGTCGGCTAAGAGCCTCACGCTTGCTCCTGGGGAGAAGGCGAGCTACACGCTGACGTTTACGGTGGATACCCCCAGTAATGACTTCCAGTACGGGTTTATAGTCTGGGCTGACAACCAGGGCCACAGCGTGCGCTCCCCCCTCGTGGTGCAGCCCATCTCCCGCTGAGGGGGAGAGTTGTGTGAGGGAGGCTCTTTCGTGGTAGGGGGGAAGATTTGAGCTCCCCATTTTATGTTATGACAGGGATATTGTTGTGGTGTGTTGTATGGCAGGGCATTGGCACATGGGATGGCAGGGCAAGTTGCATGGAACTTTGATATGGAAGGGTTTGGTTTGGTGTGTCTGACACGAGTGATTGTGTGTGAGCTGGCTGGATAGTATTTGGCAACTTCCTTGTTTGCATGCTATCTATTTGACACATACTATACTTTCAATCCAGCTGTACTAAAACAGAATACCAACACCGAGTTGTAGACTACCAAGGTAAATACACAGACACTACCACTCAGCAAACCAAACACAATGGACTGGACCAAAGCTCCAAAAGAGAAGAGTCAAGGACAGACAACAATGCAACTGCAGGTTAACCCCAAGGCCCAGGTGCCACAGCAGCTCGCACTCCTTCCTGAAGCATCTTGCAGCACTGTCTATGATCTATCTCGCTACAGTGCTCACTCCAGACCCAAAACCCTCATATTCCTCACATGCCCCATGCATCAGCCAGCTGTCGCCGGTAGTCGCCTGCTGATCGCCCCACCCAGTTGCCCCCATCGGCGCCCACCACCTGCTGCAGCGCTGCCAGCACGTGCTGTTTCAGATGCCCGTCCACTGCCGGACCCTCTGCTCCGTACGGGAGAGATGACTCGTCCGTCATTATGTCCAGCAGCTGGGGGTGATGGGCGGGGAATAGGGCGGGGGGAGAAAAGGAGGGTGTAAGCACGTGGGGTGCTTCAGATGCCCATCCACTGCCGGGCCCTCTGCTCCATATGGGAAAGATGACTCGTCCGTCAATATGTCTAGCACCTGGGGGGTTGATGGGAGGGAAACGAATGTGGGTGGAGGGGAGCTAGGAAAAGACAAATCCGAACCCTTGCTGCTTCACACATGGGTTCACTGCCGTGTAACTGCAGATGAGAACACAACGAACGGTTGTGATGGCCCAAACCACACAGTGCAGTGCATCAGCAAGCCAAGCAAGATCGTGCCCCTGCCTCCATGCATCCGCCCACCAACAGCACACATCTCAGCATAGCACATCACGCCCTCCCATCGCCTCACCTGCCGAACCCACGGCAGGAGGTACTCCACCGACGTCCCCCTTATAAGCAGCTCCACCATGCGCCGTATAACCTCCGCCCCAGTATCAGGCGACAGATGCCCCAGCACAGGACCGGTTCGGCCCATCAGCCGCACCATGGCACCTGCATCTGCAGCCTTCAGCACCTCTTTATAAGCACCCTCGAACCCCCCGGCCTTGAGCTCGTCTAAAGCCACGGCCCATGACCAATTGGCTGGCACGTGGCGCTTCAGCGGCCCTAGAGGCTTATCTGCTGCTGCTGCTGCTGCTTCTGCACCTTCAGCTTCTCCTCCTCCCCCGCCTCCCCTCCCTCCTCCTCCTCCCCCTCCTCCTCCTCCCTCTGCTGTTGGCAACGTCTCTGCTCTGAGTTGCTGCTGCTGCTCGGGCTGAGCCTGGTGAAGGTTCATCTGCTCGTCCTGATCCTGTTGCTGACAAGAGTTGCCTCGCCACTGCAGCAACAACTGCTGCTGCTCCGGCTGCTGCTGCTGGCGTTCAGTATTCATGCTCGTATTGAGAGGCACGCGAGGGGACGAGACAGTAGAGGAGTGGGGAGGAGTGCGGGGAGGGCCAGTGGGAGGAGCAGTGTTCTGTCCGCGGCTCAAGGAAGAGGTTCTCCTTAGAGTTACCAGCTGCTGCTGCTGCTGCTGTTGGTGCTGCTGACTTTGGAATGAAGTCACACGTGCCGTCTCAGCTGCTGCTGCCGCCGCTGCTGCTTCGGCCACAGCTGCAGCAGCCGCAGCATAATCATCCTCCATATAAGCTGCTTCAGTCCCTGCTCCAATACCACCAAGCCCACCCAAGAATGGCTGTGCCTGCATGTAACCACCAGCACCAGACCCACTGCCTATCCCCCCTGCGTTGCTCCCTATCCCACCCATCCCTCCTCCTCCCTGCAACGACAGCCTTCGTCCAGGGGTGAGCCCCCTGCTGCTGTCACCACCAGCAGTGGTGCGAATGCGAGCAGGGAGGTAAGGGGAGGGCATGGTAGGGAGGGCGGAGGTGGAGATGGGGTGAGGAGAGGTGGGGACAGCGTGGGGTGAGGGGGAGGCAGCAGCATTGGAGGTCCAAGGGAGAGGAGCTACCACTGGAGAAGCAGCAACACTGTGCATGGCTCGTGTGGTTCTCAGTGCTAGTTGTTGCTGCTGCTGGTGCTGCTGCTCCAAATATGACAGCTTCACCTGCTGCAACTGCTGCTGCTGCTCGTGGTAAGCCTGCTGAATCTGCTGCTGCTGCAGCTGCACCGCTTCTGCCTCGGCTAATGCCAGCTGCTGCTGCTGCTCGTGCTGGTTCTGCTGCTGGTGCAGGGACTTTAGAGTAGAGAGCGAGCCTTCAAGGGAAAGCATTCGCAGCTCGAGACTATCCATAGTCCGCCTGGTAGCGCTCATGAAACCCTGAGGAATGGAGGGCAGGGAAAATAGGGAGTGGGGAAGAGCAGGGATAAAGGGAGTGGTGAGGAGGGGAGAGGGGAAAAAGCATTGAGAACTCGCAGCTCGAGACTATCCATGGTTCGCCTGGTAGCGCTCATGAAACCCTGACGAACGGAGGGCAGAGAGTGCAGGGGAAAGGGAGGAGCGGAAGGGAATAAGTGGAGCGGGGGGAGCGAAAGCGGCAGTGAGCATTCGCAGCTCGAGGCTGGGAATGGTTCGCCTGGCAGCGCTCATGCAACCCTGACGAGCGGAGGGCAGGGAGAATGGAGGGCACAGATAAATCATAACAGCAGCAGCCACTCACCTCCAACACAGCTTGGTAGCTTGCTCCAACAGCAGCAGCCACACATTCCTTCAGTCGAATACATACACAAATATATACATATAACCTTGATATGCTCCATTGAGTGAACCACTCACCTCCACCATGCCCTGGTAGCTGTCCTGCTGTCACACTCCATCTTCACCACTCGTTGCCCTGATTCTCGAGTCTAAACATCCACCCTCATGCAGCACGACTCATTGAATGAACCACTCACCTCCACCATGCCCTGGTAGCTGTCCTGCTGCCGCTCCATATCAGCCACTCGTTGCCTCAGTCTCTGCACCTCTGCCTCCACTGCCTCCGCCACAGATGCTGCAGCAGCAGCAGCAGCGGAAGTGCCTCTATTGCTCCTTCCCCTTCCCCTCCGCCCTCCCCCGAGCCCAATCTCTTCTCCCTCCATCACCCCCTCATCCTCATCCTCATCTTCCTCCTCATCACCCCTCTCCCACTCCCTACCGCCTCCCTTCCTCTCACCCCTCACTCCCTCCCTCGCTCCCTCCCTCTCCCTGCCTCGAGGCCACGGCCCCACGCCACTGCCAGAGTCACTCATCAGTACCACCTGCGCCGCCTGCCCTCCCCATTCCGCCCTCCGACCTCTCCCCTTCCGCTCCCACGGCTGCTGCTGCTTCTGCTGCTTCTGTTGCTTGCTCTGGTACGCCTGACTCAAGTCATAGGAGCGTCTAATCTGCATTTGCTCTCCATCCGCCTTCTTCAACCCGCTCTGCCTCGACTGGTGCTGCTGCCCCTGGTGCTGACTCTGCTGCGGCCTCCTCCGCCCAAGCTTCTCCTCCTGGCGTGTCACCTCCTGCTTCTGCCACGTGTCGCCCTGCCTCTGCTGCTGCTTCACACCCTTCCCAACACCGGACCTTCCGTCTCTGCGGCCTCCTTTCGGACTCGAATCCATAGCATCCTCGTTATTAGCCCACCCGCGCCTCATACGAGCACGAGGAAAAGACTCCCCATAATCCTCCTCCTCTTCCTCGCTTGAAGACAAATGACTGCTCAGTGACCCATACCTCCTCCTCCCCCTCCCATCCTCCCTACCCTCCTTTCTCCTCATTCGCCCTCTCTCCACCCTCTCACCCTCCTCTTCCTCCCCATCCCACCACCCTCCTTTACCCTGCACGACCCTAGCTTTCCCTCCACCGGTGGCCTCAACAGACAGACTACTGCTCCAAGAATTACTCCTCCTCATGCCACCGCCTCCTTCTCCCCACGTTCCCCTCTCCCTTCTCCCAACCCCATCCACTCTCTTCCCCCTCTCTTCCGCCTCTCTCACTCCCTCCTTTCTTCCCCCACCCTTGCCTCCCCTCCCAGCCTTCCCCGCGCCCCCCCAGTCATACGATTGGCGCAGCGCCCCTCCCCCTTCTCCCCTCCCCGTATTCCCCACGCCCCTGCCCCTTCTACCCGCCTCCTCTTCCCCCTTCCTATTCTTCTCCTCTGTCTCCCCCACCCCCTGCCCCTGCCCATGACCGTCCTTCCATCTGTTCCTGCCCTTGCTCCACTTCTGCCTTCCCAAGGCATCACCACCCCCTGTTGCCTTCCGCCCCTTCCTCTCCTCCCATTCGCCTGCCCTACCTTCCCGCTGATTCCCATCCTCGTCATTGTCAGACTCGCTAGAACCATAAGCGTCATTCTCTGCGCCTTGAGACTCCTCGCCGCGCTTCTCCACTTTTGGTGCCTTTTCCTCCTCACACTCTCTCCCCACCTCCCGCTCTTCCTCCTCCCTTTCCTCCTCACTCTCCAACCCAGTAGCATAACTCGCTGCAGGCCCTCCCGCAGCATTGATAACACCCCCCACTCCCTCCTCCTGCCCCCTGTTATAAGCACCACTGGGTTCAGTATTCCCTCCTGTGTCCTTCTCTCCCTCTACCTCTCGAAGCATGTGGTGCAGATAATCTTGCTTCTCGTCCTCGTTCCTCTCCTCCACTCGCTCCTGCACCTGCTGATTACGGTACGGCTGCTGCTGCTGCTGGTGCTGGTGCTGCTGATACTGCTGATGTTGCTGCTGCTGGTGCTGCTGCTGCTGCTGCTGGTATTGCTGCAGCTGATGCTGGACCTGCTCCTGCTGCTGCTGTTGCTGCTGTTGCTGCTGCTGCTGCTGTTGCTGCTGCTGCTGCTGCTCCTGCTGTTGCTGCTGCTGCTGCTGCTGCTGCTGTTGGATCGCACTCGGCGCCACCTCATCCTGCTGCAAGTCAGCCTTGTCCGAACCGTCCCTTCCCTTCATTTCCTTCACTCCTTCTCCATCCACCTCCCGCTTCTCCTCTGACTCGCCACCGCCCTTGCCCCATCCGCCACGTGTCTTAGGCACTAGAATCTCCACATTCCAATCGCTCCCTGCTCCTGCTCCTTTCAAGCCCCCTGCGCCCTCCTTGCCTCTCCCACCAGCAGCGGCCGCAGCCTTGAGGGCAGCAATCCCCGAAGCCGAATGCCTCCGCGCCTTCGCCCCATCCGCTTGCGCTCGACTCTCTTTCGCACCTGCTCCTGTCCCTGCCCCTGCCCCCTGCCTTCCCTCTCCCCTCCCATCACCCCTCCCATCACCCTTCTTCCCTCCACTGCCCTCACCTGGCCCCCCGTTACTGTCACCCTTCTCCCCCACTGCCCCGGCCTTCGATTTAGGAACCATCACTTCCACGGACCAGTCGTCACCTCCCCCAGCCTTCCCCCCTGCGCCCGCCTTCTTGAAAAACAGTGGGTTCCCTCGCAACGGCTGCCGCTCAAACTTAGGCCGAGCAGCCTTCTCTCCAGCTCCATTATCCGCGTTAGTAGCTTCTCCTTTGGAAGCTTCTCTGGGTTTCGACTGAGATAATTCTGGAGCCCATGCGTGGGACCCAATCCCCCCTTTGCTCAGTCCGATTTTCATTCCGCCCTCTTCTCCTCCCTCCCCTCCTGCTCCTCCTCCTGCTCCTGCCACTCCTACAGCAGCAGCACTTGCTGTTGCTTCCTTAGCTCGAGCTCGGCCCAGCCCACTGAAGGTGCGTGCCAGCATGCCGCTCACTCCTCCCCGCTTCACAGCAGGGGTCACACTGGCAGCAGCTGCTGCTGCTGCTGCTGTAGCTGCTGATACTGATGCTGTTGTTGCTGCTGATGCTGCAGCTGCTGCTTCTTCTGCATCTGCTGCGTCTCGAGCGTCTTCAAACGGGTCTGTTACAAGCGAGGACGAGTGGCCTTGAAGCTTGAATGAGCGGCTGCCAATGCTTTTGTCGTTTTCTGCTGCACCAGGTGAGAAACTGGCGCGCCTTCCTGGAAGGTGCAGGAGGGCGACGGACAGGAACGTGAAAGCGATAATAAATGTGCCGTCACAAAGGTGAGCACAGGTGAGCAGAGGTGAGCAGAGGTGAGCAGAGGTGAGCACAGGTGAGCACAGGTGAGCAGAGGTGAGCACAGGTGAGCAGAGGCGAGCACAGGTGAGCAGAGGTGAGCACAGGTGAGCACAGGTGAGCAGAGGTGAGCACAGGTGAGCAGAGGTGAGCACAGGTGAGCAGAGGTGAGCACAGGTGAGCAGAGGTGAGCACAGGTGAGCAGAGGTGAGCACAGGTGAGCAGAGGTGAGCACAGGTGAGCACAGGTGAGCAGAGGTGAGCACAGGTGAGCAGAGGTGAGCACAGGTGAGCAGAGGTGAGCAGAGGTGAGCACAGGTGAGCAGAGGTGAGCAGAGGTGAGCACACAACAGGACCATTCTCGTCCTATAATGTACCATACTGTACGGTTGAAATAGAGCCTGATACCATGTAGCATTGGGGAGGACAGATGCATCATCATGAGTTGAAAGGCACGTCACACATCACCTCATACGCGTCTCAAACTCCCACACATGCCTCTGGCACACCCCCATACGCGTCTCTCCGTACCTGATGCGCTGCCAACAACAGCAGCAGAGGACAGCGACGGAGTTTGCACTACAGTCGCCGCCGATTCTGACGAGAGGGACGGCACGGACAGCACTTGGTGCTGCCCGGCTGCGGGCGGGTCCTCCCACTCCACACACGCCCACGCCTGCTTCGCCTGCGCCAGGGAATCACGCACATTCTTCACCTGCAGAACACATTCAATGTAAGGGGTTGAAGGGAGTAGAGAGGTGTGCACGTGATGCAGCAAGCGTCCATTGCAGTGTTGCACACTCCCAACGCCTTCCACACTTGTCTCCCCTGCTTCCCCAGCGTGCGTTATCACCGTGGCGCGGCTGCAGGCAGGTTGATGGCGACCTGCCACAGAACATCCACCGCCCTCTTACCTCCACCCTACCTTTCCCTTTGCCTTGTCCCCCTTACCTTGTCGCCGTGTGACACCGCCCTACTTAACCCCTTTAAGTCTTAACACCTTAAAGTCCGGCCCCTTTACCCACTGTCCAGGGCCCCGCCGCCCTACCTTATTCCCTTTGCACTGATCCAGCGTCTTCATGACCGCCGAGCGGCTCTCCCAAAGAAACGCGGCCGGCAAGGTTGATGGCCAGCTGCCTACCTTACTCCCTTGATCTCGCCCCTTTTTACCTCGCTTCCCCCTGTATCCCGCCGCCCTACCTTATCGCCTTTGCACTGGTCCAGCGCCTTCATGACGGCCGCGCGGCTCTCCCCCAGAAACTCCGCCGGCAGGTTGATGGCGAGCTGCCCCAGCAGGTCCACCGCCGCCTTGCGCGTGGCCCAGTCCGCGGACGCCACGGCGGCGGTCGCGGCGGATACCAGCACGGGCACTTGCGCGCCCATGGATTCCCCGCACACCTGCGCGGAGCGACGGCGCGGAAAGGAAGGGGGGGTGAATAAAACCCAAAAGCACTCTGCTGAGAGCGAGGCATAGTCTATTCCTATGCGGGCATGCGAGCCCGTGAACTTATGCGGAAAGAAAGAACGTCAAAGTACTAGAGGCTTGAGCAAGGCGGGAAAGACGACGTACCTCGGCAAGGCTCGCAACGGCGCCCAGAAGCTGCGCCTTCGCCTGAAACCCTTGCCGCGAGAGCATGCCGTTCGCTCGCATCAGCACGCGCGCCGCGCTCGGCTCCATTTTCTCCCGGGCAGCCCGGAAGACGCGGTCGAGACAGATCGCCGCACCTGCCTGCGAGTTTCGGCTCTGCTCGCCGAGCGTGTCGAGGAGCGGCCGAACGTAAACGCCCATGGCTCCGAAGCCGCCGACGGGAATAGCTCCGGGGACGGTATCGTGGGGAGGTGGGGGAACGTGCTGAACTAGTGTCGACATGGCTTCTGCGCAGGATTCAATTAAGGTGGACTCGGGGTCGCGCAGGCGACGGACGACGGCTGCGACGATCTTGGGAAGGTGCGGCGACAGGAGCGGGCCGAAGGTCATCGCAAGGATGGCGAATTGCCTGCGATGTTCAGGTGACGTGGAACGGAGTAACAGCAATGAACAAAAAAGAAGAAGAAATAAATACCGTGCCATTGATCGTATGGGACGACGGCAAACCAATGAAAACGACAGCGATGATTTTTCGTCGTCTGGTGGAGGCGTCACTTGTGGCATCTCCTTGCCAGCGATTTTGTGAATTAAGGAGGCATTACCTGAGACATTCTTTCCGGACGAACGTGCGATGGGTGCTGTCAGTCTCGTAGAGGCAGGAGAGGAAGACGGGAATGCCTTCAGGCGGCAGGCACTCCACGATATTCTGCAGATCCCCGACCGCGTTCTGCTGCGTGTCGCGATCGTTGAGCTTCCCGAGCGCCACTAGGAGGCTCTTCTTAACGTCGTTTAGCGCAACCCTACTAGTCTGCAGCGGCTGCGGCTCGATTAACTGCGTGATTGCCATGGCTAGGGACCTGGCAGCTAACGAGTGACTGGATTATACTCGCACGAGCGTGAGATTTGCTTATTCCATAAGCTCTGCTAGGCCAACTCGGGCTAATCTAAATACCGCCGACGTAATTGAATCGTGAGGAGCGAAGGAGTCACGATTGTGGAACGACTAACAGCTACAGCTCTGGTGATGGTCAATCTAGCTTTTGACGGGACAGGACAACCAGCTAGTCTGAACAACGAGGAGACGAGAGGGACGAGGACGCGAAGGAAACTCAAGGCAGGAGAGCAACAACCAGGAATAAAGAAGCAGGGACTGGAAGTATGGTGAGCATGTTCGCATGGCGTCCCACCCACCTCCCAACCTCGGAACGCGATCTGAGAGGCTGTTGAGTTGTGCGGTCTTGAAATTCGACCGTTGGAATTTGACTGCGAGTGGGGAGTTGGGGTAGGGGTGCTGGTTGCGTTTCCTTGGTGTTGCCCTGCCCAATCCTCGAGATTTGACATTTTGTTTCGGGCCGGGCAGCCTCCGGAAATTGACTTCGTGCCACGATTCGTTCCACACCAGAAAAAGTGATGAAGCTTGCCCGCACTTCACGCAGCCTTTTGGCTCCACGCTGCCCGCGCCGCCGTGATTCCCTCCCGCCATCTTTCGACCCCTCCAGTCCCTGACGAACCGGATATAAACTCAAAATAAGGAATTTATCTTTCAGACAAGTTAGTATATTGACTTCAGAATCGATCATACTTAAGTGTTCGATAACGCGTACACTGTCAGGCTCCCTTCCCGCCCGTACCCTTCTCATCACATCTCACCACCCAGAGCTGGATCTGACAAGCTTCTTATCCACTAAGTACAAATGTGAAGCTGTATTATCCTAGAGTCCTCGCACAGCTTGCTCGAAGCGTCCTCCCGACGAGTCGGCTAGTTGATCTTACTTCGGAGTTCCTCGCGTTTGTTTAATCCAAAGTCGTGTGTAGCGAGATTCGCGTTTGCGGCACCGATGGAGCAGCTACCGTCAGTAGAGGAACTTAAGTCTCTAGCTGTCGAGTACTTATCAAAGGCTGAGACTTCTCTCTGGAATGTGCTTCCGCCCGTCGTGCAAGAATCCCCTGTATTCCTCGATATAAGCCGAGCTCTTAATGTTCGCGTTGAGACGGCTCTGTTGCTGTCCACGATCGGCGTCCTACTGGCCTCTCTTATATTCCTCCTAGGTACGTGAACAGCTATCAAATTGCTTAAAGATTTTTCCGTAAGGAGCGCCAAAATTCTAATACGCTCGTCTTTCGCATGTCCGTCTCGTTCTTCATGTCCTGATCGCTCGAATTCGTCCGTTCACGTGCATCCTTTCCGCTCCAGCTGTGCGTTTGGCCTTCGCGGGCCCTCGATTCAACACCATCGTGCTTCTGGGCCTGTGCGGAGCCGGCAAGACGTCCCTCTGGTACAAGGTGCGAATTCGATCATCATTCGCAACCCTTATAGCGCCTGTTGTTGAATACCAAATACTGTCAACAGGCACTAGGAGCCATTGTTCTTTCACTTCCGGGTCATATTTGAAAAGCACTATATCTTTCAAAAGTGTTCATTGGCTCACGCGTCAACGTCTGCCATTCTTACCTGTCCTTCCAAAGCCTGCTGTCCATCATTGTCTCCCTCCACTACCCCCCTCTCCTTGACTCACACGTGGCAGCTGCGGGATGGGTCAACCCACGGCGGCACAGTGACGTCCATGGCAGTCAACGATGACAAGTTCCCCCTGCACGCCGAGCTGAGCAAGGTAATTTCTTAGTCGCCCCAAAAACAGGCAACGAATACAAGTTTCCCCTGCACACGGGGCAGAGCAAGGTAATGAAAAGGTGGAAAGCTGGAAATGCATGGTCAGGGACACACAGAGAGCATATGAAAGATGTTTTGCAGCTTATGCTACTGCCACTCGTCTTCTATTTGTCTTCCACCAACCCGTGGTCCCTTTTTCCAGCATTCTGGCCGCGCTCCATGATGCTCATTCTCTTCTTATCCGTTCTTGATTTTGATTAGGCTTCATAATGCTCCTTCCCTTCTTATCTCGTCTTGGATTCCTCATTCCTTCGTTTCTCTGATTCTCTATCACCTCCCTCGTCCTCCTTCCCACACCAATGCGTCCTTGTGTGTTCCCAGAACCCCAGGGCCCGTCCAGTGCATCTGGTGGACCTGCCTGGCCATCCCCGCCTGCGCTCCCTGGGGGCTCCGTTCCTCTCCCGCGCCTGTGGGATCGTGTTCCTGGTGGATGCCCTTGATTTCACTCTCAACATCCGACCTAACGCAGAGTAGGCGCTCTGTCAGCCTATGTGCCATGCACTGATCGTCTCGTGGATGTGTTTTTTGTTTTCGCGTGCATCTTCACTGAGTAAGTTGTACACTTATGTATCATTTCATGGCTCTCTGCACATGCTTCTGCGCCAGGTACCTGTATGAGCTGCTCTCATCTGCTGCGGTGCAACGGAGGCGGGTACCGCTGCTGCTGGCGTGCAACAAGATGGAGAAAGTGACGGCACACTCGGTGGAGTTCATCCGGAAGCAACTTGAAAAGGAAATGTGAGTCACGTGCACATGCGCCACTTTTGTTTATTAATTCCTGGATAAAACAGTACTGCCAGCATTACTGCTACCTTACTAGTGACATGACATGCATTCCTCCTCCCGTTTTCCTGTTTTACCATGCACCACTGCGCTCACGCATTATGTGACACACACTTTTCTTTCTTTATCTTATGGCAGTGAGAAGCTGCGCTCGTCACGCCATTCCATGGCATCTGTTGGCTCCAGCAAGGACGGAGGGTCACAAGGGCTTGTTCTGAAAAGCAGTGGAGGCGTTTTCCGGTTCGCTGACTGCGTCAACCCAGTGACATTTGCAGAGTGTTCCGTGGCTAGTGATAATCTGAATGATGTTGAGACCTTCATTCGTGACCTTGTCAGGCCTTAACACCACTTCACACGAGGCCTAAACAACAGGGCTGCAGGATGCTGCTATAATATATTACTGCCACTGCCAGTGGCAACTTACAACCAGGCCCCTAGATTCGTTTTGAGGTAGTCTGAGGCCTCAGAGTACACCGCTCTTCCTAGTCTGGCTGTCAGAGTGACCTGATTTTTTAAGTCTGAGATTTCAGACTACACTTGCATTTCTACGCTGAACATACAGAGTCACAGTCAATTTTCCTGTTATAATGAAAACACTAAGTAACCTTCTTACATTTCTTCTTGATAGTCTAATACAGGTTCACGTTCTACTACTGCCTCGTCTACAGGCTCCTTCCCAGCCCACGAGGGTTCCTCTCTGTGCCTAGCAGCAGGTGCTGTGACCGGCCGGCGCTTCTTGTAGCTGCGCCATATCTCTACTACTCCTGGGACATCTAGCTCATAGTCTAAGAGTGAAATACAGAGCAGATCACTCAGCCTACAATCCTTAATGCTGCCCCTCTGCCACGTTTTGATGAGATTCTGTCGGGAGAAACCGCGCTCGCACTCGACCGTGCTGAGAGGCAGCACCGCAATCGCCACCCACAGTCCGACCAGGTTGGGGTACGCCTGCTGCCAGTCGGGTGTCCTGAGCATCGCACAAAGTCCCGTGTGGAACTTGCGCTCGCTCTTGGGGGCTCTGGCAAGGACCGGACACAGTGTGCGCAGCTCCCTCACGGCTTTCTTCTTGTCAATGCCTGCAAGGCAAAACGAGACACGGGTTTAGTAAACGAGCCATAGCCAAAGGGGGAAAGGGGCGGGGTGACACAAAACCATACCAGGTAGTATCTCGTCGGCTTCATCTGCGCGAAACAACGTGACAAGCGACATCAGCCACTCCAGGCACTGTGCCTGCCGTGCGTCCCGGTCCCAGTGAGGTTGCCACATCTCTGGAATAAACAGCCGCACTCCGGAAAGTGAGTCAAGGTCGCCGAGCTTGGACTGGAGCTGCTCGACAACGAGCTCGGCCATGTCGGTGCAGAGCGCAACGCAGGCGTGGTGATGACCAGGCCCACGATAGCTTGGGTTGGTGCGTTCGTGAAGCTTCACCTTGAAGCGGTTCATACTGCCGTCGGACGATGCTCCTTCCACCACCATTTCTGGTGTCCCTCCCGGACCGTGCTTCTCAATGAAGCGGTAGAGCCTCTCGGTCGCCCCCCCCCCCCGAAGTCGTCTCCACAATCGACGTACCGAGCCTCCAGGATCGATGTGGTGCGCACAATCTGCGTGTGCACCAGCGCGTAGTCGAGCTGCATCACAAACATACAAAGAGAATTAGTACAATGGGTCTCGGACTTAAACCAATACAATCTACACCCTCAAATTCACTTACTTCTCGCTTCTGAAAAACTGAGGAGAGGACGTTGAGCTGCTCCAGCATGTCCGCGAGGAACCTGATGAGGAACTGGAACCTGTACGACGTGACGAGTTCGTACATGGTCTGGTCCTTCCACTCCGACAACATGACCATGATGGCAGGTAGGACTTGGACGAAGCGGGCAACTGCAGCTCCTCTGGACAGCCACCGCACATCGTGTATGCCTTGAACCTCGAGGATGGTGGACGTGAACACCTCCTGGAGCTCCATGAAGCGCTGATGCCACGGCCCCGGTCGCCCGAGGTACTCTGCGACGGCGCGGATCACGTCGTCGACCATGTTGAAGGTGGGTATCTTCTCCGCTGCGGCCTTGGCAGCCAAGGCCTCCCTGCCAAACAAAACCACACATGCACAGTTAGTTTTTCATAAACAAACAGATTTGCCGTTTACACATGGCGTTAAAACACAAACGCACCTGTGAGCGATGCAGTGAAACGAGACCAGGTTGGGGATGAGCAGTCGCAGACGAGCAACCACACCGTTTTGACTCCCCACCATCACAGAGGCGCCATCCGTGCTCACTCCCGAGATACGCCGGAGGTCAACGCCGACTGCCCTGAGGTGGGAAAGCAACAAACTGCACAAAGATGCAGCGTCAGCCCTATCAACCGTTAAATGCGCGACGAACTCAGTGACA